AGGCCGACTCGGCTCGTTCTCGGAGCCACTACTGGTAGAGGGTGAACTCTCAGAATCACCAACTCTATCGGAGTCTTCCCCACTCCCCCCCGCCTATCCAACTCATCATCACTCGGGGTGGCGCCACTCGATCCACGGGCAGCCATGTTCACCCCAGTTGGTATACCGACTGGAACGACCCCACCTTCGGGCATCATCACCATGATTGGGGCATTCTCGTACTCATCCCCAACTTCTGCCTCAGCCCCACTCGAGCTACTCGACCCTGACCTTGACATTGAGCACTTTATCCATTCACCCCGAATGACCGACCTCTCTCAATTCAGAGCCCAACTCCATTCTAAAGCTTCACTTGCCTTGAATCACCGACTGACTACTCTTCAAAACAATGGTACCCAACCCTGTGTTACCTTTGGCTTGGTCTGGGCGATCGAATGCCTGCTCGACTTTGCCTTACCGTACAATTCTCTTACCACTCAGTCAAGATGACCAAGCGACCTATGTACCCTAACTTTTCTAGACAACCAAAACCTAACGTAGACCCCTTTACTCGACTCGGTCAAGCAGACCGAGACACCCCATAACTTGGTTTTGTCTTCCACCTCTGTCAAAAATCCAAACACGTCAGAAACCAGACAAACCCACTCAAATCACCCCTAATCTCTCCAGAAACCCAAATACAAACACAACCCCGCTCCACCAGAAACACAAACCACAGTAAAACTCAAACAATCAAACCAGTCTCTTTATAAACGAGAAAAACCTGAATACCTTTTTCTTGGATTTCTTTCTCTACATACCTGAAATCACCTTAAAACGACACAAGACTATCCTAGAAACAAACCAAAAGCAATAACAAAATTCAAAAATCAGAAAGAGAGGACCCAGAAGAAGCGATTACCGTGAAAAAGTGCCGGAAAAATCCCAAAGTCGCTAAAGTATTCCCCTGCAAAACATTGCGAAAAAAGAAAAACTCTCCAGTTTCTGTTAGGAAAGACGAAGTATCCCCCAAAAGCTTTTAGACATTGCATTTAATGACTATCCCATCGACAGTCCACATGGCAAGACTTGTTTTGCCCTAGGCGAGTTGACTTTTCAAATTCCTGCCCAAACGAAGGAAGAATCTCCACCGCACACGTGGAGTGGATCCACGCATGCTTAGAAATTGCGATCTCACGTAAGTGCCACATTGGATCACGTGGCTGATCCGACCGAGTTGGCATGTTCAAGCATACCAATTATCTGGGGCCAAGCCAACGCATTCTGGTACTTCACCCATTCAGGACGCCCTCCCGACTGGGCTTCGAGACTGAAACCGTTAACTTCGCCTTTGGGCCCTGAGACAAGCATCGCGAAAGCTTAAAGTGCCAAGCCACTCAATCATCACGGATGGGCGAACTAGTCACGATCGAAATACCAAGGGAGCACAACTTCATGGAATGGTTCTCCCACCCACTCACGTGGCCCGTACACCGAGTGAGGACACCTCCAAGGGACAACTCACACACCCAGCCATTCGCCCCGACATTTCGAACGAGTACACCGTCATGGGAGGCTTCACACACCTTCCCGCTCAAGAGGACAGACCGAGTGAGGGTATTTCGAGAAGATTCTTTCATGCTCCCTCTCGACTCAATACATTGGGCGAGTCCAACAGGGTCGACTCCACTCCTCCACTCGGTCGGATGCATCGAACGTGTCCATGACTATGTTTCACCTCGACTCAGTACACTAGCGTACCAAATGCCCCATCGACAACAAGAGTTATACCATTCGTTCCCGAGAACAAAGAAGCAACACATTTATAAGTTCAACCGGTCAGTCGCGAAGGCCGACCAAATACACCTCCAAGCAATGCCTACTCTCTAAGCTAAGCACTCCTTAACTCATAGAGTGGAGGGCAAACTATTAGGGCCAAAAAATGTCCTCGACCCAAATAGGCCCAAAGACGAAGACACCTTCAACAAAGCTGAAAGCTCAAGCCCAATTCCGATGGGGCCCAAATCAGAGTTCTGCAAATGAGGCCCATTCGGTATGCTTTCCTAGTTCCTCACCATCTGGACCCAGGCCTTCTGATCTTAGAACACCTTCTAGACTTACGATCAACTTGGAGCCCACAGTCGCCTACGAACTATAGTACTACTTGAACTCTACTAAGGAAGTCAATCACTTTCCTAATTCGTCTAAGGTCTGTATTCTAGGTGCGTTGGGACTCCCTTTCCTACTGAGATAAGGGAGCCAAAAGCTCCACTCTTTTAGAAAACCACCGTTACAAGTACTCCCAGTCCCACCGGGATTCGAAGACCCTGCAGTCACTATTTAAACACAAGTCAGCCCTCTCACAAGGGATGAAGACATTACACCTTCAGACCCTAGAGTTCCCACTTGAGAACTTCGCATTACAGCTGTAGTCATAGTCCCCGATTAGACTTTCGATAACCTTTCCTTTCCCTAACCCTCACTAAACTAGCCTCATTCAGCCTTGCTGACTTAAGCGTTGGAGTGCCTACGGCAAACACCACCCCGGTGTTTTCCGTTTGCTTCACGCTTGTTTTCTTACATGTGCAGGTGCAGCAGATCGCTAGTGACCTCAACCTCATGGGATCAGTCCCCCTTTCCGTACAAGTAGATTTTGCATCTACATATTGTTTCATAAGTAACTCGTATATGAATGACAGTTTCATTTGCATACATGAAGGAAGAAGACGAGGCCCTTTAAGGTATTTTTGATAAGCATTGATAAACTTTTCTCTTTCACATCCTATTATCATTGGCCTCAATAGCAACGCCATGCCAACATATAATGCCGATGGATAGGACTTTGGAGTCACAGTGGATCAAAGAAAGTGGCATGGCGTTCTTTGTTTTCTTTTTTTTCTCTTTTGACCTGAAGCTGGAAATGGCCTTCAGTGCTGGTACTGTAAGTACTTACCAAACTGAACTGAGCCATCTTGGAAAAGGTGGGTGGTCGGCCATATAGATTATGCGTCAATCAAATTCAAATGTAAGTGAGTGGACTAGCCCGGACACAGCACATTAATGTTGTTTAATGTTTTCGGCTTAGTGCTCAAGGTGGGAGATCCTTGTACAATTATGATTTAAACACCCTGTTTATTGTAACAGTCTGCTGTCTCTCTGACGTGTTATCCAACATTATTATCCCAATCTCTCTCAATATCAAATTGAGATATTATTGTTGGATTTGTTCTGTAAAATTAAATTGGATATTATTTTTGGATTCCTATATCTTATATTAGTAATTTTTTAGAAGGTAATACCATTTTGTCAATAATGTTTGAGTGATCAATAATGTTTCGATATCATTATAGACTGAAAATGTATTATAGTTTGCGATTCTAACTTTTTAGCATGATATAAAAACCCTTTTGTAATACAAATTGTTTATATAGCCTCTATATTTATTTAGATACATATATCTTTTTTTCTTTTTTTTTATGACTAAGGATATATGGGTCAATTTGTGTGTCCCTCAATTAATCTTTTGAGACCTTGAAATTGCTGGTGGAGTAAGAGTTCTAGCTAGTGACCATCCCTATTAGGGGTTGAAGTGAATCAAACTCAAAAGTTCTTGAGTAATATATCTAAGAATCTTAATTAATCATTCGATCATCCAGTGATGGTTAGATACATATATCTCTCTCCATTTGTTGTCCATCTATACTATATTAAGGTATTATTGAAATATTAAATAAGATTAAATTTAAATCCAACTTAAAACTTGGTTGGCCCGGTCTAAGCCCGACAACGTGTACAAAATAACCAGGCTTTGGGTTTGTAACGATAGGACTGGCCCGACTGGGTCTGGGCGGGGAAATTGTTAGTTTTGTTCGGGTGTCCTGTGTCCTTTCACCACTAAAGTGAAAAATATAAAAGTAAATAAGAATATATCGGTAAAGAAACTTTCTTTCTTCGTACCCTTTCAAAACTTGGAATTTTCGCGCAAAAGGGTGTATACTTTAACCACGTCCACGTTTCTCATAAAAAGCAACGATACAGATTTTCTCACTTTCACACACGCATTTGAAGGATTGGCCCACTGAGTTGAAAATAGATACTCGGTTTCTCATTATCAGCACCAACAGAAAATGATAAGAAATTTTTTCGAGATCCAATTGTCAGTAAAATAATGAATATATAAAGGGTAAGTTGCATATTCAGATGCCCAGAATTGATCCGATATAAAAAAAACATAAGTATATCACTTCACTTACTGTTAGTGTCGTATGGTAGCCTAGTCTTTAATGTGATTTGGCCGTGAAAAATGCTGCAAGAATCAGAATATTACTCCATACTTAGCCCTAACAAACTAAATTAAGTTGAGATTAAGAAACTAGGCATGGCTGTCATGTCTGAACCCCATGTGAAATCAACCTTATAATATTAATATATCATCAGATGTGAGTTCATCTTCATAATCACAGCACACAATTTGAGAATCTCCCTAATTTTTACAATCTTCAAAACACCCACTGAAGCTATTTTATGTTCCTTGAGTTGACTGGATTGTCCCTACACGTGATGGAAAGAGACCAATTCATTAAGAGAACACGCTTCGATTACAAGTTTTTGTGGCTTGTTTGTCCGCTTTATCATTCACTGATTGATTGCGTAGACGAAGACTAGATTCAGTCAACTGGCTGTGGACATCAGTAAGCAGTCCTTGACTGATAATAGTTACTTCCAGGAAGGAGATATCTGTACGTTATTAGATAAATCGTTTAAGCCTTTTCTTCAAAAGGTTAAACAAAGCCGACGAATGCTTCTTCCAGGTTTCTACAAAATAGGGGCTTTTCAACTTTATTTCTTGGTCCAACTATTAATTGCGTTTCTTGACCATAAACTGTTGTTGTCGTTAATAATTATTGTTTAATAGTAGCTTCGCCTCAGTTGACTCAGCTGACTCTTTTCAATATAAATTATAAGCTACGGTTCATTCATTTCACCAAGTCCGTTAAGCTTCTCTAGGCACTGCTCCTGGTCTTCTTCTTCTTCCTCTTCCTCTTCCTCTTCCTATTCTAATATACTTCTTTATCATCTTGCACGTTCAGAATTCGGGGTTCTGATCTGCAACTTTCTTTTACAATTAAGTTCAGTTCAGGTCTCTCAAGACAGTAAAAATGAAGGTGGGTTTTTTCTCTTTGCTCTGGGTTCTCTATCTTTTAGGCTCATGCTCTGTTTTCTATAAGGTTCCTAACTGTATTCGATCTTGTTTTTTTATCACAGAAAGCAGTGTTGAAAGTGGAACTACACGATGACAAAATCAAGAAAAAAGCCATGAAGACAGTCTCTGGCCTTTCAGGTATTGAATTTAAGCTTTTCCTTTGTTTTTTTCTTTTTTTCTCGGAAATGAACTAAAATGAAAAACCGTAACTTTGATCTGTGCACTGTTAGCCAAAGGTGAAAAATTGACCAATATGAGTTGCTGTGTGGTGTAATTTTACAGGGGTTGAATCAATCGCAATGGACATGAAGGACAAGAAATTGACAGTAATTGGAGACATTGATCCAGTAAGTATAGTGGGCAAACTGAGAAAGCTATGTCACACAGAGATAGTATCGGTTGGACCAGCAAAAGAAGAGAAGAAGAAGGAAGAGCCCAAGAAAGAAGAGCAAAAGAAAGATGATAATAAGAAAAAGGATGAGCCTAAAAAAGACGATGTAGCCGAGCTCATCAAGGCCTATAAAGCCTATAATCCTTACATGACCACACATTATTATGTCACAAGTGCAGAGGAAGATCCTAACGCCTGTGTTATCTGCTAAACTTTTGGAGTTCTGGAAGAATTGACAAGGAATCTATAACAAGAGGAAATCTTAAATTTGGTTCTTCTAGTAAAAAAAATTAGATTATGCAGAACCTGTGTGTGGTTCATATGTACAGTAGGCAATGATGGGTTGTTCTTCTTTCATGTTTGTTGCGGTGGATCTGGTATTAATGAATCAATTTTTTGTTGGCGAACATTTTACTTCTGGTGCATAATCTGTTTTGAATAAGCAGGTTCTGATTCTTTTTAACATTTTCGGCAGACATAATTAACTGAAAAAGCTTCAACAAGAACAAAAATATTACATCATTCAAACAACTTAGTTAATGTGTCTCGTTTTCAGCTCCGAGTAAACTTGGATTCATTCACTGAATATGTGATTCAAAGAATATGGATATCCCCAAGAGGTCTAAAGAAGATAGATCATAGGTGCCCATCTTTTTGGACAAAAGGATGGAACAAATGCCCAAAAGGGAGCATGCATGCTCCAAACAAAGGAGGGAGATGGGCATAGGCGTCCTAATGGAGCTCCCAGGCTCAAACTAAACAGAAAAAAGAAAATAGGCAAGAATATGCATTTTCTTAACCACCTCTGATAGTTTGACGGTTCACTTTGGGGTTTTTGGGTGTACTACTCAAGAGATCCTGAATTTGAATTGCTGACTACTATTAATAAGGGATAACCACTAAAGGTTTATTTGATTGTTAACTTCAGGATCTCAAGGGATTAGCTCAGATATGCACAAACTGGTTCAAATCGATACCAAAAAAAAAAAAAATATATATATATATATATATATATATGCCTTTTCTTGTCCTCTGTATCTGTAGTTGTAGCGATCAGCCGGCTGACTTGTCTTGCATTATAGATTTTCACGCACTACGTGACAAACTGCAGCTTTCTATAGTTATCATCTTTCCTTCCCAATCCCATATTCATCCCTTTCTTCTCTTCAAAATTTACTTTTAATATGGGGTTAAAGGCATTAGAATTTGGACAAATTAGTGATAAATGGTGCCGCCATTGCCAGTCTCTTTCAAGTTATTTAAGATTCTTGAAAATCTATGAGGTGAGGTCACTCCAACTATATCATTAAAGTATAATACGCAAAAAGCCAACCCAAAGGCTTGGATTACGAACAAGTTGCTTTCAAAAAAGTTAGAAGGCAAATAAATGGCCGTCTAAGTCGAAAAATTAAACTTGACTACTTCTCTCGACTCTCTTGTATCTTTCTAAGCATTTACTTTGATGAAACGTACTTATCGTAAATCAAAGTAAGGCGGCCAGAGGATTTTGATGAATGAAGCGTACTTATCGTGAATCGAAGTAAGGTGGCCAGCCAATCCTCCACGTAGAGATAATTCTTCAAGTGGTTTCTTACATGACGCCCCCCTTTTTTTAATTTCATACACTTTGAATCATTAGAATAAGATTCATGAAGAACTCAGATAGGAAAATCTGTTTGAATTTAAGGTTTAAGGTTTGCTTTTTTTAATTCAAGCAATACTTTATTCTATAGTGGTATTAAAGATATCCACTCTAAACTTCTGATCCAAGTCAAGGTCCTAGAGTTTGAAAGACTAGAAAAATACGCTCTTAAAACTAAAGACTNCAGCAAGAACAAAAATATTACATCATTCAAATAACTTAGTTTATGTGTCTCGTTTTCAGCTCCGAGTAAACTTGGATTCATTCACTGAATATGTGATTCAAAGAATATGGATATCCCCAAGAGGTCTAAAGAAGATAGATCATAGGTGCCCATCTTTTTGGACAAAAGGATGGAACAAATGCCCAAAAGGGAGCATGCATGCTCCAAACAAAGGAGGGAGATGGGCATAGGCGTCCTAATGGAGCTCCCAGGCTCAAACTAAACAGAAAAAAGAAAATAGGCAAGAATATGCATTTTCTTAACCACCTCTGATAGTTTGACGGTTCACTTTGGGGTTTTTGGGTGTACTACTCAAGAGATCCTGAATTTGAATTGCTGACTACTATTAATAAGGGATAACCACTAAAGGTTTATTTGATTGTTAACTTCAGGATCTCAAGGGATTAGCTCAGATATGCACAAACTGGTTCAAATCGATACCAAAAAAAAAAAAAATATATATATATATATATATATATATGCCTTTTCTTGTCCTCTGTATCTGTAGTTGTAGCGATCAGCCGGCTGACTTGTCTTGCATTATAGATTTTCACGCACTACGTTACAAACTGAAGCTTTCTATAGTTATCATCTTTCCTTCCCAATCCCATATTCTTCCCTTTCTTCTCTTCAAAATTTACTTTTAATGTGGGGTTAAAGGCATTAGAATTTGGACAAATTAGTGATAAATGGTGCCGCCATTGCCAGTCTCTTTCAAGTTATTTAAGACTCTTGAAAATCTATGAGCTGAGGTCACTCCAACTATATCATTAAAGTATAATACGCAAAAAGCCAACCCAAAGGCTTGGATTACGAACAAGTTGCTTTCAAAAAAGTTAGAAGGCAAAGAAATGGCCGTCTAAGTTGAAAAATTAAACTTGACTACTTCTCTCGACTCTCTTGTATCTTCCTAAGCATTTAGTTTGATGAAACGTACTTATCGTAAATCAAATTGAGGCGGCCAGAGGATTTTGATGAATGAAACGTACTTATCGTGAATCAAAGTAAGGTGGCCAGCCAATCCTCCACGTAGAGATAATTCTTCAAGTGGTTTCTTATATGACACCCCCCTTTTTTTAATTTCATACACTTTGAACCATTAGAATAAGATTCATGAAGAACTCAGATAGGAAAATCTGTTTGAATTTAAGGTTTAAGGTTTGCTTTTTTAATTCAAGCAATACTTTATTCTATAGTGGTATTAAAGATATCCACTCTAAACTTTTGATCCCAGTCAGGGTCCTAGATTTTGAAAGACTAGAAAAATACGCTCTTAAAACTAAAGACTAAACCCCAATAGGTTGGTCTGGTAAGGGTGTTAAAAAAAATACAAAAACTGAACCGAACCGAACCGATAACTAAAACGGCTTTCCAATTATCCAAAAAATTTGTTCGGTTTCGATTCAAGGAAATACATAAACCGAATTTCCGATTCGGTTTAAAAAATTTATAAAACCGGTTAACCATAATCGGTTTTATAAGCCGATTTTCACTTTAAAATTAAAAAACCCTAAATCCCAAAATTTATTTCTCTATACTCTTCACACACAAACACAGATTTTAGAATTTTGACTGAGATTCAGACCAAGTAAGGTGGGAAACATAATCATATGGAAGTTAAAAACAAAATTAAACAAAATAAAAAATAAATTAAAGGAAAAACAGGTTATGATGAACACTCCTATGACCTGATGATTAAGAATGTTTGCTCTCTTCATTGACTTCTTAGGTTCAAACCACCTTGACGCCACCTACCACATATTTGTAGCTTCTCTTGGAAAATTGGGTTTAGTTGAGGTGCTTAAAAGTTGGCTTGAACGCTCTGATCATTAAAAAAAAAAAAAAACTAAAAGGCTAATAAACTATTAATTTTAAAATAACCTTTTTTTTTTCATAAAAACTAGTGAATTAAGATAAATCACCAATTTTTTTTTATTTCGTGTATAAGTGAATCATTCCTTTTATTCTTACATAGATTAACGTCTACTAAAATTAGGAATTTATCCTAATAATTTAAATTATAGAATCTGCACTACTAGACCCAAACCCCAAAAACGTAAATGCAATTATCTGTAGTTTCGATTGAGCAGGTATGTGTTACTTGCCCTATCAGTGAAAAGATACACCGGTTAAGAATTGGGATTGACCATGATAGAAAATAGTAAATATCTTCCTGCATTCTACCTTAGTTGGCAATTTTTTTATTTTTTTTTATTTTTTGGAGTTGATATATACATATAGAATGCACTATAGATAAGGGTGTTAGCCGAGCCGAGCCACTCACAAGTCGGCTCAGCTCGGCTCGTTAAATACTCGAACTCAGCTTGAGTTTAATCGAGCCAAGTCGGCTCGAGTAAGACTTGAATTAGGTACCGAGCCGAGTTCGAGTCTACCCCGGCTCGGCTCAATTTGGCTCACAAGTCAATAGTGGCTTGTTTAGGGCTTTTCTGCAAAAGATACAAGTTTTAGGTTTCTCTTGTAATTTGATGTGTAAAAGGTTTAAAAAATTGCAAATTAACCCTTAACCCCAATTAACCCAACTCGCATAAATGATTTCCCCAAAATCATAAACCTTATTTTCACATTACTAATCATTGTTTATGTTGTGTAATTTGTTGATGTATTTTGATGTGATTTATGTTGATTTGGATGCAAATTTACAAAAAAAATTGATTTGATTTGTGTAAAACAAGATTTGTAGGTTATATAAAAAAAGGGTCAAATGAACCGTAATCGAGCCATAATTGAGTTTGCGCTAATCCAGTCATAATCGAGCTTTTCGAGTCGAGTTAGACGAGCTTGAGTTGAGTCAGACTAGCTTGAGTCGAGTCACGAGCATGGCCGTCTCAAGAACATTTGTGTCCCTAGGCAAGAATTACTTTAGGGGCCTTCTAATAATATAAGTATATATTAAAAAATTATTTCAAATTTATTTTTCTTGTCTTTTGAGATGCAAAATCACTAATTAAATTTTTATATTCAAGTTTAGAAATCAAATCTTTTTCAATTGATAATTTAACCAAATTACCCAATCTTTCTTGTGACATAGTTGAACGCAAATAAGATTTTATTAACTTTAACTTTGAAAAACTTCTTTCTGCTGAAGCTACAGTAACATGAATAATTAACAGTATTCTATAAGCTATCCATGCATTTGGAAAAGAATTCACCTTTTTTTATAAAATCTAGTATCTCAAGTGGTGTTTTAATTTTCATGTTTATAATTTCTTTTAAAACTTTTAATTCTGAATATAAATCTAAAGCATCAATATCAGAGAGCATGTCATATTTTAAAAAGTTTTCAAGATTTAAACAATGTTTCTGCAAACTATCATCATCAAGCAATTTTAACTTTTTTATATTATAAATGAAACCAAAATTATTACTATATATTTCAAATTGTTCAAACCTACTTTGAAGTGAGGAAATGACATGATCAACTAAATATGTGAAATAATTTATTCTAAAAGATTCTTCAGCAGACAATTTCATCTCTTCGTTTTCATTCTCATCAAATTGTTTTTTTCTCTTTATTATACGTTTTTCATGAAATTTTGGTTCTATATTCATTTGCTCTGTCATCTCTTTAGTAGAAATCATAGAAGATGTAAACATATTTTCTCTATATTTTTCAAAAAATGAAACAAGACATTTCAACTGATCTGTTACAACAACAATGTCCATATTTTTATATTGTAAATATTTACTAACCGTATTAACAGCAAATAACATTTCATACCAAATATTCATGCCTAATAGAAATTGAAAATTTTCAATCTCATATGTTACTAAAGAAATAGCTTCACTTTTTGTTTTAGGATCTTCACTAGTTTCTGCTAATTGATATAAAGCATCTTTTATTTGTGGAGCTTGAAATTTTATTGCTTTAACACTTTCAACACGACTTTCCCAAGGTGTTTGTGATAATGGCTTAAGTGTCAAATTAGAAACATGATCTTGCAAAATTTTCCATCGTTTTGTAGAAGAAGAAAATAATGAGTATATACGTTGTGTCACTCCAAAAAATGTAATAGCATTAGCATATGAATTAGCCATATCACAAAGAACTAAATTAAGATTGTGACAACTACATTGTGTATAAAATGCTCTAAAATTTATATCTAAGAATCTTTTTTGCACACCTTGATGTTTACCTTTCATATTAGATCCATTATCATATCCTTGTCCTCTCACATTATTTACATCAAGTTCAAGATTTTTTAATATACTTGTGAGAACATTAAAAAAACCTTGACTAGAAGTATCATCCACTTTTATAAAATCTATAAAGTATTCTTCTATTTTTATTGGACTTATTGAAATATCTACACATCTTAATATAAGTGACATTTGTTTTTGATGACTTGTATCTGGGGTACAATCAAGTATAACTGAAAAATATTTTGATTCTTTGATTTTTTTAATAATGGTATTTCTTATTTCTAATGCTAAAATATTTATCAACTCATTTTGTATATTATGACCAAGATAATGAGTATGAATTTCTCCATTTTAAATACGTCTAAGGTGTTCTTGTATTATTGGATCAAACTCAGCAATCATTTCAATTAAACTCAAAAAAATTCCATTATTTTCTTGATAAATCTTCTCATTTGTATCACGAAATGCCAAATTATTTTTTGAAAGATTTTTTACAACCGCTATAATTCTTAATAGTACATTCTTCCAATGCTCTTTCTCTTTATTTATTTTCTCTTGTAAATATTTATCAATTGTTTTGTTTTTAAGCAATCTCATCTCAACATCAACCCAAATGTTCATATTTATAGCATGTTTATTGCTTGTTTCGTGACTCTTAAGCTTGGCACTAAGATTTTTCCAATCTCCACACCATTCATTTGCTAATTGAATTGTATTTGCTTTTAAACTAAATAATTTACAACAAAAACAAAATACTTTATTTAATTCTTTTGAATATATTAGCCATTTTCTATCATGTTTTTTTCCATTTGGTAATTTTCGAATGTAATAAATTGTAGAAAAGCGTCTAGAATTTTCATCTCTTGGAAAATCTAAAACTTGTCTAATTGGACCTTTCTTAACTAATAAATCACATAAGTTTGTGTCCAAATTATTTCAGTGTACCGGGTCATAAATATTTTTAATAGTTGTTTCATCTTTATCATTAATATTTTCATTTTTATCGAATAGAATTTCTTCTTCTAAATTTTCATGAGACTCTTCACTAGTATTTGATGAATTTGAATTGTTATCTTTAAAAATTTCTTCACAATTTGCAATTGATTTTTCATTTAAATTTTCATTTAGTTTTTCTAGCATTTGGTGTATTGTATTAATAACAAATTTATCAAGTGCACATTTTTGGGATTGAATTAGTTCTTCTATTCTTTTTTTTTCTTACGTTTTTCAAATCCAGATTCACACTTCCTAGTAGACATCTATATTCAAAGAATAAATAATTTAGAGCTCTTAATATTATTTCGTTAAAATAAAAATAATTATAAAAATTATGAAGGAACTTTAGCACCTGATTTATACTCCTGATTTTGCTTTTTGCTGTGCTGATACTCCAAAATCTTATATTATTACCCTGCATAAAAATAATAATATAAATCAGTTATTCACTTGATCAAATATAAAGTAAAATCATTTGAGAATGTTAAGAGTAAAATGATTTAAAGCTCTTAATATTACCTTGCATAAAAATAATAATAATTTAAATCACATTCACTTGATAAATTTACGTAATAAAGATGAGAAATGAGAGACAAGAGATGAGAAAGGAGAGAAAAAGAGAGTGAACTAAGTTGAGAATAATAAGAGTAAAAGATGAGAAAACTTTAAGTGAAATGAGGTTTATATAAGAGATTTGGAAGAGAGAGGAGATGTGATTTGACATTTGAGAGTTGGAGAGTTGCGTGAAGATGTTTCAATTTTCAACGGAAAAATGAGCCACCAATTGTGTTTTAAGTTTAGAGATATGCATGGCTAATTGGACGTCGGATGGGATTGATGGGAATTGAGAAATTATAAATATATTAAAAATTGATGGGAATTGAGAAATTATAAATATATTAAAAAACTTTTAAAAAAATAATTTTGGGTAGAGATAGGCATAGGCGAGTACATGGTGGATTGATGAGAATTAAAAAATTATAAATATATTAAAAATACTTTAAAAAATAATTTTAGGCCCACTTTTTTGGGAGCCTTAGGCAGGGGCCTCACCTGCCTAGGGGTTAAGCCGGGTCTGGTCACGAGTTGAATTTTCTTGACTCAGTTGACTCGTTACTTAACTCGAACTCGTCTAATGCTTAATCGAGTTAGACTCATTTAAGATGATACTTGACTCGTTTACACCGCTAATTATAGACCTGAGCATCGGAGGTCTCCCTCCCTTTTGACTTTGTTAACTCTGCAAGATCGCTAGATTAACTAACCGTTAATGATGCCCGTAACAATAAGCTATTAAAAATTTTAAAAAGCCCATATCATTATTTTATCCTTGATATTTTTTAGTGTTCCAATACAGTTACAAATAAGTGACTAGTGCAGTGGATCCATCCTGATCATACTTAATGATGCTGTGTTGGATCACATTCATCAGCAGGTTATCCAGCAGCGTACTGACAGCGAGCCCATACAAAGGAAAAACCATATAAATTATCTGTTATTCTTCAATTTTCCCAAATACTTGGAATAAGAGTACATAGAATAGATTAAGACAATCAATAAATCTTACCATCAATATATTTGCCAGCCAAACCAATCCCTTGGAACCAGATGGTCGACATTAATTAAATTAATCTGCAAAAGTTAATTGAAAGATGAGTCAGGGAATTACTCTGTTCAACAATTTAAACCTAATTCAGATTGGGAATCAGCAGCTTAGCTGAATAAGCTATGACTGAACTTGCATCAGATCAAATGCATATTAGCAGTACATCTTCTCCCTGTTCAAAATTGAATTATAAGCAGATCAGGTTATATGGGCTTAGTTGCTACTAAGTTTCATTTTTTTATAGAAATCATAATAAGAGTCCAAGTAAAATACTAGGCAACCGTTGTTAGAACTAGAATAATACTAACCAACTTCAAAGCGTGTATCAATGCCACTTTCGTAAGGAAATTTAGCCTTTTATTGTGTAAATAGGATCAACGAATTTCTTTAGGATACAATTAAGAATCTACTTGTGTTATGCACAAAACGGAAGCAGACTTGAGAGAGTTTTGATTATATTATAATTGTAGTCTTATTTTTGTATACTTTTACAGAAAATCTTACTTCTTATATAGGATTGTTGATACCAAAGATACTTTTGAGAAAACCCTTTGAGATATGGACACAACCTTTTGAAGATATATGACCTTTCGAAGATATACATGCCCAACTAGGAAAATGTCTCACAATCGTTGCCTCCAGAGAAAACTGTAATCAGTAAGATATCATTTTGAGATAGCATCAGATGAAGAAAGCAACACCCCAATCAAGAAACCAATGCTCCAGAAGGGTAGAAAATGCTCACATGGCTATGTTTCAGAAAAAGGTGTAAGACACATTACATTCAATTTTTCTTTTTCAATTCTACAATTGCATAATGTTTAATCTTTCAATTCTTCAGATATCTTCATTTTCTTCTTTCCACATCTCAACCCAATTCTGCTTAACTTCTTCTAGTCCAAGCACAGAACCCTTCCTCTCTTCATCCCAGCTGGTAGAAAGTGGCCCATAAGCAATCCCAAGTGCAGACATTCCAAAAGTTATGAAAGTTGTCAACAGTGGAAGCCATAATGGCACATCCCATAACTTTTGCTCCTTCACCACACCAAATAAGTTGAGCAATGCTATACCAGTAGCCAATGGTACCCCAACTGCCACCAAGATTCTCACTATTATTCTTTCCAAAACTACCTGCGGAAGATGGTCATCATCATTTTTATTGTTGTTGTTGTTGCTACTGGCACTTTCTTTTATGGTGGTTGGTGTTCTGGCGCCAAAGCCTTTGGCGTTGGCGTGTAGTTTCCATGTTTTTTTGGGTTGGTTTACTAGTTTTTGCATGGTTGTGGAGTGAATTACTGTTATTCCTGGACTCCATAGAGAAGGCTTCGGGAATTGAAGAGGTGGTTTTTGTGAAGAAAGTAGAGTGTTCATAACTTCCTTAAGCTGTAGATAGCTTTTCTCACATGCAAGTATGAATGTATGTTCTTCTTGCTCATAATTATCTTATCCGAAACAAATGTATGGTGGTTCTGATACCTTTGTCCATAACATTTTTGGCTTTATCTTATGATATTTTGGGAAGATTTTTCTTGTTTTTATTTTCTGTAGATAGACCTTATTGTCCTCTGCCTTTCCCATTTTTTCTTTAAGGATGCTTTTATAAACTATAAAAATAGTATCTTATTACAGGGAAAGCTGTTTTCAGTGCTACCATAGAAAGTAATACTAAAAATATGTTCTAAAAGATCTCTAATTGAAAGGAAACTCCATCAATGTATTCAATGAGCATAATTTTTATGGGGCGAGTAAATACAATTAGCCATAGGAATGAGAGGTATAAACAAAAGTGAAATTGGCTAAGTCATTTCAATATGACATATTTGCATTTTCATTTCTTACATACCCTCTGGCCTTCTCAGCTTGTCATATGATTTTCTTGAAACCTGCTAGTAAGATATGGAGTCAGCAAAATGCAGAAATACTTTTTAAATTTTTCCTCAAAACAATTGCAGCACCAACTAGCTTAAGCAAGACAATTATAAACTTGCTTTGAAAATATCTTTATAGGAAACCGGCATATGCATATTCATGGATAGTAAAGTGATCAAGTTACCCTTTGCAAGGATGGTGAATAGCGAGCGGTGCTTGCAGGTATAATTGGAGAATCAGGCGTAAGTTTTCCGGGGGATGCAGATAGAGTTGGTCTTGTAAATGGTGATTGAATATATGGTGAGACTGGTGAACGCAGAATTGGAGAATGATTATATGAAGATAATGGAGAAAGTGCGGATGCCGCAGGAGTTCTCCATTGACGAGAAGCAAACGCCCCTCCAGGAGGTGATATTTGAGAAGCTGGCATATTGATTCTAATTCTGAAAGAGTGAAATTAATTGACTTAGGGAATAGCATGGGCAATGATAATACATTAGCTGAATCTGAGGAAAAATAAAAAGGCAATTACTTGCTGTGGACATCAACGTATTCATCAGTCTCATCAAGTATTTCTTCCTGCAGAAAAAAAATTCAAGTATCAGGAAGCCATCCTTGTAATAATGGACTAATATATGAAAATAATATATTATATAAATTTAAGCATATTTCCTTCAGGAGATTGTTTTAAGTTGATCAGTTACATAAGATATGCTCTTTTTTACCCTTGCTCAAATATAGTAATTTTCAGTTCATCTAAACACTGACCTGTAGCAGTTCCTCCATAACATCCTCTAGTGTTATGATTCCAGTGACCTCTTCATTTAAAATGGGAAGAGAATCCAATTCTTCTTTAGAAAGATTTACATAACGTCGTTCCCATCTCTTCAAGTACACAGGCAAATTGGTATTATTTACTATTGAACTTTGAATATCAGTGTCGCTAGAATTCACAGAGGGTGAATTTATATAGACATCGAGCTTCTCATTTTGATCAAAATGATGACCACTTCCTGAAAACATTATGTAATAAACTTAGATGCCACAAATGCTTTGAACTCTAACTTCATCCCCATTCAGAGGTAATAGATATACCTTTTAGCTCTGCTTGATCCTGTTTTGAATTTGAATGAATATTTATCTCTAAGACGCTAGGCATGGCTTTTGCAATTTCTGCAGGTTCCCGAATATCATTCTTAACAACAAGGGCCATGTGGCTGTGACCCTTTTGAAATTGGTTTAGTATATCATAGAGCGGTACACGATCCTGCACCCTATTGCAGATTTTCAAAATTGCTCATATAATCAGCTCAAATTAAAACATATAAATTTTATAAAGCTGTCAACATGATGGCAAGAAGTCAAATTATTTAATTTAACAAGAAAATGTCATACCTAGGAATTTTCCGAATAGTAAGATCTCTAATCGTGGTTCCATCTTCAGGACGATACGTGAATAAATTTTTCACCTATAAAATGATGAATGACAGTGAATACATACTGTAACAAATATGCTTATTCCTTCAAAACCAAATAAGCAAGTATAATTCCAGCTATCTTACCAAAATAAGGCCAATAATATTTTTGGGGGTTCCTGAGTAGATAGGCACGCGACTATGTCCTTTGCTTATTATTAGTCCCATCGTTTTCCTAAGAAGAATACCTACTATGAGTTTGATAGGGTTTAGAATACATGCAGAGACAGGGAAGTGAAAGATCAATAGCCATACTCATCCAATCTAGAATTTATATCAAGTGAAAATATCTCAGAAATTGGGGTCATTGCATCTTTGACTGTCTTCTGTGTCATGTCTAAAGCTCCATTGATAATTGTTGTTTCATCATGTGTCAACTCTCCACCTTTTCCTGCCTAAATTTGAATATGGGAATTAACATCAAATAAATTTTATCACTTTCAGCTTCGGAAGAAGAAGTTTAGAGATTAGACACGAACCTCAGTTCCATGCATGTCTACCAGTGTCTTGAGCTCTGCCCGCCGAAGAAGTGCAGAATGTCTTTTGCCGAGGAGCCAATCCAGCAACTACCAATAGAGAAACCCCAGAAGTATATTAAAACTAAACAAGTTCTATTGCTCGCATCAACTGTAATTAGTTTGTATCAATCTTTAACATACAATGAAGCTAATTAACTACCTTACTAATGGGATAAGATAAAGGAAAGAGAACAATAACGATCAACCGAACCACAACAGACAGTTTTGCACCAACAGTCAGTCCATACCGAGAACACACAGCTTGAGGAATAATCTGACCAGAGAGTAAAGAAAGATATAAAAAGTCTCAACCATAAACAAATTGTAAAACACAATTTTCAGTTGCCAAGATTTTACCTCACCAAAGGCAAGAATGAGGGTGACTGATATCAATATAGCAGCCCAAGCTGGAAGAAGTGCATCCAAGAAAATGGGCAAGGCCTTAGCAATTAAAGATAGAATTCAGAATTTTAGACCTATAGTTGAAAGATTAGCTAATTGTAAAATTTATATGGCAAGTAAAATAAGTACCTCCATTGCCAAGGCGTTGCCTATGAGGAGAGTACATAGTAGAAGATGCTGATTCTTAACAATGGGCAAAATCTTTGCTGCCATTAAGAATTTTTAAAATAAGTTTAAAATGCTTTAGAAGATGATTATAAATTTAGTCAATGGATTGAAACTAATAAATGATTATAATTATAATGACCTGCATTCTTTCGGTCTTCGGGCTGGCCAGCCTTCATTAAGACCTCAAGATCAACTAAACTGAGGGACATGAGTCCCAGAGTGAGGCCTGACATGAGGCCGGCAAAAGACACAAGAGCCACACATATGACTAGATAAACCCAGAACATAGTCTCACAACAAGGCACGTCATTTGCAGCCATTGTGTTGCAGAAAGGAGAATAACAGATACAAGTATATAGCTGCAGAGAAAAAGAATGAAGATAGCGTGACTCAGTCAGTCTGGTATATATAGAATTTGCTTTGCTATAAGTTGACAGAGAGTATGGTGTTTCTTGTTTTGGATCAAATACAATGGGAAAGGAGAAATTACACCGACTGTAACGTCATCGGACACACAAAACCCAACCGCCAATATATAAATTATAAAAGCTGCATGTAATATATATCTACACTAGATATATATTACAGGAAAGATGACAATGATTCCTTATTAGAATAACTGTTGATAAACCATTAGAATTTAGAAATGAAAAATGCTCTTTCTAAAAGTTACCAATGACCTACAGCTTCTGTTGCTCTTTAGAACAGAAAGAAAACTGATTCTGCAGCGTGCATGCATGGCTCAAGTCATTCCATTCCATTTTAACTTAGAAAATACTACATAAAATATTCCATTATCAACAGGTGATGATGCTAATGATATGAACGTTGAAAAAGGTTTAAAAAAAAAAAAAAATGAAATACGGAGCAGGTGAAAAGAAGTCCTACACGCTCAACAATCCGACACCTAATTTATGTTTTTTACTAAATTATTGATGAAGCAAGTGAAGTGGCAAAATAACACACTTTCTGAAATCAAATAAAAAATTATTTCATATATCAAAAGAAACATATATATCATAGAGTGGTTTCAACGTGACCTCTTAAGAGTGCCAAGAGGCTTTGAGAAAATGATCCTAAAGCCAGAGGCTACAAAAGCCAATAGAAACAGTACTTAACCCTATGCCTTCGTAAAAAATAACTCAAATAAATATTGACTGCATTTGGTCAGATAATCATTAGTGGATGAAACCCTATTAATTAGCACTGACCATTAAAAAAAAAAAAATCAATTATGGCTGGCACTCATGAAGGAGCATGTAATTTTTTATCATGATAAGATTTTTTGTTTACTCTAATGGCACCTTTTTGTGTCAGCATTATATATGTCAGATTACTAATAAGGTACAGTTTCTTAATTAATATAAGCTCAGCACAAATGATCGCTTTGCATTAAACCAATGCCACTACATGCCCACTTGAAGCACTATTCATGTAACCCCATCCGTAGCTGCATTAAAGCAATTATTTGCAGATAAAATAATTCAGACGAAGCATCGCGGAAGCCCGCGGAGTCAGTATCAGCTTTGTCATCCACATTCACAAATCAAGGGATTAAGTTGGTATACCAGTTGTCGCACTTGCTGACCAAGTATATAATGTTTTATGAAATTTGAATAGAATAAGTTTCCTTGTTTAACTCTTTGTCAACCTCACTGAGATTCTGCTATTCTTTTTGTTTATTTAAATATGCCTTCTGCTTTTGTTCTTAGAATTCTAGCGTATTTTTCCTGACATATTTGCATCAGCACTTAACCACTGCAACATCAATCTCAGTCTCAGAACCATCAACTATTCAATACTTTCGTCTACGTTACTGGACTGCCTCTGGAGCTCAGAATCTAATCAGTAATGAAACAAAGTTTGTCGTAGCTCAAATCGTTAGCGAATGAAAGTATAAACTATTTTATAAGCTTTGGATATTTATAAATAAAAGATGCTTGTGTGAATAAAGTTTAAAATTAAACCCGCATTAGTTTGATATAAAATAATGGTCAATATTTACTTATAGTTTCTTCGCGATTGTTACAGATTTTAGAATAACCTAAACTAAGAACTGGGAAGATATATATAGACTATAGTGACAGGCAGATATATGCGTATTGAACAAAAAGCTAGTAACAGATATGCACGAGTATTTGAACCTATCATATACTTTATGAACACCAAATAATACTGCACCAGTTAAATAACTAATTGAGAATGAGTAACTGGTACAGAAAGAACAATCTGATACCTACTTCATTACGTAACTTTCCATAATTAAGAATGATAATGGCCTCTTACCGGTAAGTAAACCTTTAAAAAAAAAGGCTCCCTGTTGACTCAGCCGGCGCTGGTAGTTTCTGAAATGGCTCGGGGCATATTTTTGTCTCTGTCTGCCACTCACTCTTATCTTTTTGTAGTCAAAGTTTCAACAATACCACGTTTAGAGGGACACGTGTAATCTTTAAACACCAGGAATTGTGCCAAGTACATATCAAAAATAGATTCAGTCAAATCAAGTCAAGTCAAGTAAGATGCATTCGTCATTATTTATAGTTTAAAGTGTACTCATGGGTGCCCTTGTCACCTTATGAGTAACCCTACAATTTGCACAAACATTTTTTATTAATTTTCTCTCACAAACGTCACATGTTAGTTCACAATTTATCAGTTCACATAAATCCTATCTATCTACTAATAAATCTCGACTGATCAAGCTAATCACAAACTCCCACATGGGGTTAGTGAGAGGGGTTTATTAGGTTAGTATTATTATATTTTTATTCTATCATTTCCAAAATACATGTTTGTTTCCTATTCTAAAAATACTATTATATTTTATTTAATTATTTTTAAACCTCTGAAGTTTGTTAATTTAACTGAACACTCCCCCAAAAAAAGTTTAGAAATTGACAAAAACACCCCCACCCATCCACCCACATTCTACCAGCTGGATCTGGTCGGTAGTGCATCAATCTATCATTTTCTAACCAGACCCACCATGGATCTGGCCGAAAAATGCTAGATCTATGGTCAGATCTTTGGTCGTAGCTAGTCGTCAACGATATCCAAGATATGATCGTCGTTGACCATCAATGACAGTCATATCTTTGGCCATCGGTGACGACCAAACGCGACCAGATTTGGTCGTCAATGGTCAGATCCACGGTGGATCTTGTTAGAAAATGCCATATCAATGCACGAACGACCAGATCCAATCAATCGTGCGTCAATATGGTGACTCTAGCCACCATCCGATGGTGGCAGCCGGTTTCCGGTATTTAATAGGTGGGTGGCGGTGGTTTTGTTAATTTTTAATGTTTTATTACAAGGGTATTTAGTAAATTAACAAACTTAGAGGGTGTTTTTGTTAATTTTTAAATCCTACCTCGTAATAACCACTCAACTTTTATGTTTTCTAAAATACTAAAATAAACGCACCGATATTATTTTATGTGAAAATCATCCCTAATTAACTAATTGGAGAGAAAAAACAGACAGAGCAATTCATAAACAAACACCTGTCTAAAGTTTTTTTAATATATTCTGACCATAAAATTGGTAGTTTTAAATTCTATCTTCACTTTTGTGTGAAGTATTTGCTTGGTTCAATCTTTTGCTCTTATTAGGTCATATGCATAAACTGTAAGACAATTTTAAGATATCAATTGATTAGATGCTAAACGAATGTACTAGTATGATGTAACATAGTTTTATATGTTTTATTAAGGATAATCAAGTTGATTCATTGTATTTTATAATTATTTTTTTACTTTAAATTTTTGAGTAATTATATTATTAAGTCCTATTTTAGAGTATGAAATGAAAATTAGCCCAGAAGAGGAATGTATATCATAAAAGAGTAAACGGCATATTCCCACATGAGGTTTAGCAAAATCTTAAGTTAATACCCTTGGTTTCATTTATTCTAAATACCCATCCTTAAAGTAACACCATTTCATTTATTTTAACAGTTAAGGGTTAAAATAGTTATTTTCATTTTTTTTGTTATCTTCCCTTCCCATTTTTTCCTCTTCTCCATCTCCTCCTCTCATCATCATCTTCTTCCCTTTCCATTTCTTCCTTATCTCCGCCTCCTACTCCCATCTTCTACTTTTTCCCTCCACACCTCCTCCTCCCATCTTCCTCTTTTTCCCATCTTCCGGCCAACCCATCACCAGGGCCGGCTTAAGGGGTAGGCAGGTGAGGCACCTGCCTAGGGCCCCAAAACAATGGGGGCCCAAATTTTTTATACATCTTTTTTTTTTTTTTTTTTTTTTTGAATATCTTACAAAAATAAAAATGGTTTATAATTTCTTATCTAAGCCAAGGGGCCCCCCAAAAAAAACCAAAAAAGCCAAAATTTATTATAAACTTTTTACATATATTCCCACCCAAAGTTTAACAAAATAGAAAGTTTGTACCTCTAGTTTTATATATTCTAGTTTATACCCGTAAATTAACACATTGTATCTCTTTTAACAATGGAAGACTAAAATAGTCATTTACATATCTCAAATTACTCACCTCCACTTCAATCCCAAAATTTGACATTCACATAAATCATCTCCAGCCCTCTTCTGCCGCCACTGGTTTGGAGTTGATTTCAGTCAATTTTGGTTTCTGTCGATTTTCTCACCAAAATCGACCGAAATCATCATTTTATCATTTCTCAACCTTGATAGCCCTCGATTTGACTAATTTTTGATGAATCTCGCACCCAACTCCACCACACGACAGCCATTTCCAGCATTTTTGGCATGTACCCGACATTGTTGGCCTTCCCCGACACCACCATCTTCCTCCCCTCAGCCCTCTCACCAAAACCCCTATCATACCTTATCCGTTTACTCTGCCAATCGCCGGCCATCGATACCTTTTGGGCCGTGACTTCTCAAGCTTTTCTTATCAATCTTGGCATTGGAAATCACCCATTTCACCACCCATCACTTCTCCAACATCTACTCTCCAAAACCCCCCACCAACCTAACCTTGTTAGCCTGCCGATTGATGTTCACATCTCCTAGTGATTTTTCATCTCAAAAGGCAACAAAATAATAATAATAATAATAATAATTTTTTTAATATATGCTTATATTATTAGAGGGCCCCAAAGTAACTCCTGCCTAGGGTCACAAATGTTCTAGAGACGGCCCTGCCCATCACCGAAAATCTTCATTGAGCCCACCATTCAACTCATCAAATAGCCCTCTCCAATAATCTCATGCTTTCCGTTCCTGATTTCTCACCTTTCAACACCAATTGAAGCCCCTTTCCTTAGGGTTTTTATTTTTTATTTTGTTTTATGTTTTTGTTTTTGTTTTATGTTTTTTTTTTGTTTTTTTTTATTGAAATGGTGTGATTTTAGGTGTTGGCTGTTGGATTTGGAATAGGGTGGTTTGGTCGGTTGTGGCGATGGTTTGGTCGATTGTGGTGGTGGTTTGGAATGGGGTGGTTTGGTCAGCTGCGATGGTGGTTTGGGATGGGGTGGTTTGGAATGGGCTATGGTGGTGGTTTGGAATAAGGTGAAGGCCAATTTAATAATAGCACTCGTCATAATCTAACAGTCACTAATTGTGTTACTTTAAGGGTGAGTATCTAGAATAAATGAAATCAGGGGAATCAAGTTAGGATTTCACAGAACTTCGGGTGGGAATATGTTGTTTACTCCTATAAAATAGTCAAAACTAATTTTTTTAATTTGCCCCCATTCACATTTCTTCACCTTCTTCTGAAAAAACACATCTACCCTATTCTCCATAAATACAATCCTCACCAAATAACTACGACTGTGTTTGTTTAATTATTTTGAGTCGTATTTTAAAAAAAGTTGAGTTAGGTTATTATTACGAGGATAGGATTTGAATTTGAAAATGTGTTTGTAAGATTATTTTTTAATCCCTTACATTTGTTAATTTAGTTAAACACTCCTTACAATAAAAGTTTTAAAATTAACAAAACACCCTTACCCACCCATTAAATGCCGACAGTCTGCCACCACCGCCGAATGGTGATCGAAAGTCACCGGAATGGCGTATAATTGACTAGATGTGGCCGGTTGGGGGTGTTTAGTTAAATTAACTAAGCTAAAGGGTTTAAAAGAATCTAAATATTTTAAGTTGAATATAATATGATTGGATTTTGAGAATAGGAAACAAATATATATTTTGGGTAGGATATAAATAGGATAGGAAAAAATAACAAAAAAAAAAAATGCAGCCTACATTTTTTGATTTTCTACCGGTGATATTATGTGATTTTATTGAGATCTAAGAGAATTAAAAGATTGACAAAAGATATGTTATTTTTATTGAGATTTAAAAAAAAAAAAAAAAAAAAAAAAAAAAAAAAAAAAAAAAAAAAAAAAAACCAACTGCAAAGGGTATTTGTTAAAAAAAAAAAAAACTATTCCGGAAAAAAACAAGATTGAAGAGAAGAAGTGACTATAGGGAGGATCAATCACTGATAGGACTTACAGGCGTATCTATGGCTCTATTTGGTTCATTATTCTAATAGTTTTTTAAAATAATCTTTTGAAAAGTTAAATTGGGCGAATATTACGATGTAGGATTTGGAAATTAACAAAATATTCCTAGTGTGTTTATACTAACACTCCTATAATAAAATATTAAAAGTTAACAAAAACACCTCCAACCACCATAAATACTGACAGCCGACCCACCCATCGGAGGGTAGCCGGAGGTTTTTGTAATTCTAAAAAAAATATTTAAGGGTGTTAGTTAAATTAACAAAATTAGGAGGTTTAAAAGAAAGTAAAAAATAAAAAACTATTTTGGAAAAAAACAAGATTGAAGAGAAGAAGTGACTAATAGGGAGGCATCAATCACTGATAGGACTTACAAGGCGGTATCTATAATTTTCCTATCGGTGGTCGATCAATCTGCAAGTCTAATCCTTTCTTTGATGGATTTCAATCAAAATCTCGTGAAATTGATTTGAATTTGGAGAGGAAGGGAAGTTAGTTTGGATGAAGCTTATATATGGAGGGGCAATTTCGTCCTTAAAAAGGGGGGAAATTGGGTTAAGTTAATTTTTGAGACACCTTTCGCGTTGGAGCTACTTATCAATTCACACCCTAAATTAGAGCTCAGCTAATTAAATAATTTCTCTAAATTTTTTAAATTTAGATTACTCACATGGATATATATGGAAAAACATTTCCTTTTTAAAGTCAATTCAATCGAACTGTTTACAGTTTTAAAAGGAAATGTGGATTGGGCACCAAAATTTCCCTCCAAAGTCGGTCCCTTCAAGAAACAGAATTTTCAGTAATCACACAAACGAACACGAGCAAGAACACCATGGACGACGTTGATCGACTCTTCCAATGCTTCAAATGCGGCATTTCTCCTCCACGTAAGTTTGTGTTTATAGAAATTCACAATTAGGGTATAGATTGGCTATTGATTTAGCAATTTTGGTAGCAATTTCGAGTGTCTGCTTGTTTCTTTGATTGTGTTTAGTGTAGTTCAATTTTATGATAATTGAAGGGGAAAAAACTTTAATCTGCATATAATATGATAGGATATGAATTTGATTACCAGTTACTAAAATGTTGCTTATGAATGCATTTCAACCATTTGATTGTGTGATTTGCTGCTCCATTTTAAATGTGCTTGAATGATGCTGTACTCTTAATTAGAAAACAAAAAAGAAAAAAATTAATGATTAGATTTTGTTCTTTTTGTTGAATTCTTAGCATCTGCTATGCGAGAAAGAAAAAGAAGAAAAAACAAACCGAAGCAAGAAGGTGCAAAGCATGAGGTGTTTACAGCTTCAGGTACTCCATCTCCGAGATCAGCATGCCGTGGAAAGACAACTGATTCAACTGAAACAGATATACAGCTCTGCCCAGAAGAAGTATGTGCTCCGCGAGTTGTTTTTGTTTCATGTTTAGTAGAGGTCAAATTAATAACCATAGTTAAGTAAGTCTTTGAAGTCTCAGATATCATTTGTGTCCTAGAAGAGAACTTGTTTCATTGTATGAGAATCATATTCTTACTTGTGAAGATTTTTTCTTTACTACTGTACATTATGATGATACACTCTTCTTCCTTTGAAGAAATGAAATTTTACTTCTTTGAGTCAACAATGAATAATAAAGTGATTATAGATCAATCTTTGATGTTTACTCTTTTTGTTTCTTTTGTGGGAGGTTTGATCTCTAGTCAGTTTCAGAGTTTTGATTGAATTATATATATTTTTTTCTTTCAGCTTGGTTTGTCGACAGTTAAAGTGAACAAATCTAACTGTGGCGGGCAGATTTCTCCTGTTGTATTTTATGGGACTCCAAATGGTGTGCCTCGGAAAAGACCATTGAGCTTATTGCGATTGTTGCATGAAATACGTGTTGATCTCTCTAAACAGGATAAATCAGACTTAAGGTCATTGTTCAACTCAGCTTCTACTATTTACTGCTTCAAATATTTTTCAATATTATTAGGTAATAGCTTCAATATGGCTCTGTTCACTTTAGTGTAGTTCTAATGCTATTACCTGACTCTGACTATATGTTTGCTCAGGAAGGAAGTATGGGCTACCTTTCCAAGGCAAGATGAAGCGATCAAGTTTGTGAAAGGTCATGCAAATGTTCATATTTATAGTTATCAAGACCATTTCAATGGACAGAGAAGGTTTCTTGTTTCAACATATAAGGAGTTCTGGCAGAGGTTCTCTATATTATTTTTCTTTGTCGATTATAAATTTCTATCATCAATTGAGGTGCTTTATTTTATTCTCTTGTGCTGATTCTTCTAATTTCAGGTACAAAACTATGGACCCAAACTTTCGTCATCATTATGAAGTGATTCAGGAGGTGAAAGCTTCTAAATCCCTTCCACAAATGAAAGCACTTGTACACACACAAACACATTCATATAATCGGAAATAGTGATTATATTCCAGTCAGGAAATGATTAATCTTGCAAAATCTATAAAAAAAAGATAAATTTTGTCCATGAGTAACATTTTCTTTTTTCTCTTCTATATAATACAATTCTGTCTATCAAAAGTAGAAAGTTCATTTGGGAGACACGGAAAATATGCTAGGAAACACTCAAAGGTTTGACTTTTTGATATGGTGCGAAATCAGGATACTAGAGACAAACTCCTTCAACGCTTCATCATTAATACACTGTGATCTATTGTTCGCTTGAAATTATTTATGAACAAAGCTAATATTTATGTATCTGTTCTTACACTTTGATGTGGATTGCTTCCAGGGTTTACCATGTCACCTTTACTTTGATTTGGAGTTCAATAAAAGGGATAATCCTGAAAAAGATGGAGATGAAATGGTTGATCTTTTGATATCCATCACTCTACAAGCATTGCTTGACAAATACTCTATTGAAGGAAATGAAGATTGGATAATAGAGCTTGATTCCTCTACTACAGGTACGATATTCTGCTTGGTGCTAATATTCACTCCTCTATTATTGTTTGAAATGTCTTCTACATTTGATTACTCAATATTGAACAGACTTCTAACTCAAGAAGTGTTGAGCTTGCATTTTCTTTCAATACGAGCTAGGTGGTGGTTAAAATCAATTAATAATTCTAATGGTACCTACATGCAGAAAAGTTCTCTCGTCATTTGATTATGCGCATGCCAAAGACTGCTTTCAAGGACAACTCGCATGCAGGTGCATTTGTTACTGAGGTATGCTATACTTTTAAGTATTAACTGTCTACTTTGTAATAAATATAGTTGTGTAATCATTCTAACTTCCATCTAAAGATGGCTGTTGGAACTGAATTTTTTCCTGCTTACAATTCATTTTAGAGTATTGACTCTGAGTTTACTAGGACTAGTATAATGCTATACAAATTCTGCGTTCTCTGTAGCCTCGTTATGCGGCTGCAAGAAAAGGAATCTTTTTTAGTTGATGGAGTATTCTTTTTCTTGGAGATATCAACTATTGTCACTATGTGATCACATATTATTAGATATGCTCTCGGATAAGAAGTGCAAGAGAAAGAGATGCAAATTTTGAAAAGCTGTTCATAAAGAAAGATTCAAACTCTGCTGAATCCCCAAGTCAACTTTTTGTGGACACTGCTGTCTACTCCAGAAATCGTTGCTTTCGTTTAGCTCTATCTTCGAAGGCAGGGAAGAATTCTTTCCTTTTACCTACTGGGCGTTTCAAATGTAAGGGCATGGTATGATACTTTTTATTTAATATTTTATAATGTTATTTCAGCTATTGCCTTTCTTCTTTCTTTAAACATAGCAAAAATTAATACAGTAGTTCTATCACTGCTCCTTTACTACTGTTAACCCCAAACAAGAAGGCTGTATCATTTCTCAACATTAAAATACAATAATATATATTATTGCTTGATTTCACTCCCTACATATAGGATGAGTCCTAGGGGTTTGAGATTATGCCATCAAGGGCATGCTGAGTTTTAACTATGACAATTATCATCCTTGTTAGTGCTTTTTTACCCTTTGGCTTGAAATAATTAAAGATATGCCGCTAATAACAGTGTGAAGAAGACATGTTCATGGCATCTTTGATCTGCAACATGGATGCTGACTGCGACAAACTTTTAGTCTGCAAATTGGAGTTAGATTGTGTTAAGACCCTACAATTTGATACAGAGGTTTGTTCAGACTCACCATTAGTTTCACTGTCGAGCTACTTCATAGTATGATAAGCTATTGTTCATATTTCTCCAGAAGATTGCACTTTTTGGATCACAATATAATCTATCCATAAACGAATTAATTCTTTTCTAATGCAGCTACATAATAATTATGGAAAATATTGTCGTACTTCTCAAGAATTTGCATTGAGTTCCCACTCAAGTGATGTGTCAACCACGTACTTCATGGGAAAGTCACCATTTCCAGCTTTGGACAAATTTATAGAATGTATTGCATCCATTGGAGATGTATCTGGTACCATCTTTCAATCTCTTATTTTGACATTTGGACTCTATAGTACTAGTTGAGCATGTTCTGGATGAAGAAATCTAAACGCCTATTTCGCCTTTTTCTGATTAAATGGTTTTGGACTTTATTATTATCATATTGTTATTGTTAGCGCTAATGTTAGTTATAGTGTTACCAGCTAGTTATGTTATGCTGTGGAGAAATGTTGTTGAGGTGGAATTCTGCTTCAAATTTAATTGATTTTCTTTCATTTTAAATACCAAATATCATACACTTTGTTAACCCGTTCATGCTTTAATAACAAGGACAAAGTGTGTAAACAAAACAATAAGGAATTCAAATACCATTTTTACACATTTCTTTATCACCTTACTGATGAGTTGTTGAAATATAGGAAAAATAAGGAGCTGGTATTGGTTCTCAGAGTATGGATTGATTGTCTACAGTATGTCAAGAAATAGATACTGTGAGCGAATTGGGAGACAGCATAAAAGCAATCATGGTAGATTCTATATTTGTATCTGTTAGTTATAGAAATATCAATTTACTGTTGATTTAGTTTAACAAATTGAACTTTTTAATGAGTGTCTGTAATTTTTTCTGAAGTAATCGTCAACTTTTCCACTAATCTTGATATCACATTTCATAAGCTCTCATCTGACCATGTGAATAGCAACAAGATGTTTGCAGTTAAAACCTTTGCATTGCCTAGCACTTCTATTTGTTTACCGATGAAGATGTAAGGCACTGCTGATACAGAAACTTTTTTAATTTCAGTGATGTATGTTGTTGATCTGAGAAGGGCTGTTTATTATCAGAAATGCTATGATCCAGATTGCAGAGGTACAGGGTCATGTATAACTTTTCATATCCTCTTCTCAGCACAGGGATGATGAATTTGAAATTAATTTTGTTGATGGCACCAGGTTACCGATCTCCACTTCGTCCAATTCCATTGGACAGCATCCCTGATCCTATGTTTTCCTCTGATTCGAGACAGATGATGCAGCATGGAGGGTTGACAGATAATAATATTGAATACCAACTTGTGAACAATTATTGGGAACAGGATATGAGTTGCTATGATGACGACAATACAGAGAGCTGTGGTAAAGATTCTTGGTGGATTGAAGCCATAAATCTTGCCAATGATATTGAGAACAAGCAAAAAACATGGGATAGCAGCAACATGGTTAGTGTACTTAAATAGTTCTTTTATTGCCATTTAGTTCGTCTCATTGTCCGTTTCTATGTCAAAAGCAGCAATATGATATTTTCTTTTTCTCAAGTGTGCCGTGGTATTAGAACCTTAGAATCAGCCACTCTCAGTGAACCATTTTTCATGTTTTTCCAAATGGAACGAAAAAAGAATCACTTTAGTGACCGTCTAAGTTTTATATGTAATCCAGAATTCTCTCTTGTCCAGTACCAAGATAGGATGAACAATACAAGTTCTTTAACCTTGAGTAGAAGCAAAAAGATGATATTTCCTCAAGCTCACATGTTCTTGAACAATGAAACACACCCAGTTATTCATTTCTTTCTTGTTTTCATTATTTATCTTACATGTTACAAGCAGGCAAACATTGATGATGAAGATGACGGCTGGTGGATGGCTGTTGAAAGGACTGCATCTCAAGCTGAACTAATGCACTTCAATTGAGGATTCAAGATAAACATTCAAGCTTCTGACTGATGGCAGATATAGAAAAAGGTCGAGGTTGTGAAGCATTCAGAAATGAAAAGCTAGTTCTTCTACAGATTGTTAATGTTGAAGGAGAAAGAAGGCACCCATAACTTCCTGAATAATACGTGCAATGTTTAAGCTGCAACCCACGTAGGGTCGTTGGGGTTCCCAGAAAATAATCTCACCAGTGAGAGACTCAGCAAGGTTTGTGTGTGAAGTTTTTCTGTACAAAATAATTTACTAGGTTTGTTGCAAGTGTTTCTAAAAGCCAGAGGCAGCTGCATCAAGTCAATATTGGATTTATTACGTTTATACTCTTTCTCGAGCAGATAATTTTCATAATTTTACCGCTCCAATGTATATACGTAAAACTGTACTAATGCACTGTTTCGTCATTTTATATTTTATTGGAATATCTGTGAATGGATGAATTATTATAAACAAAGAGAAAAAATAAAGGACCGCATGTTTAAAAAACAAGTAATCAAATCTTTAATATGTAATTTAGAGCAATATTTTAAAGCCTGGCCTGCCCGACTGGTTGAATTGGGACTCGGGTCTTCATCAGGCAGGTTACTAATATCATTATTTATTGAAAACCTTAGAAATTAGGACGATAATCGGTGGTGAATAATTGAAGGTTGGGATGTTAAGGTTTTTGAAAAGAAAGGGTTGGTGAGTGGAATGGGGGCGATCAAGGTGATTTCTGGTGAATGAATCGATTGAAAATCATAAAAATAAATCAGCAGTAACAATAGGTTGTTATTGACGATTGGCAAGGCGAAAGGATGAGAGATGAGTTTTGGTCAGGAGATTGAGGGGAGTATTTTAGTGGTAATGGGGAGTGTTGTTGTCGAAAACAGATCCTATTTGCCTCGGGTTGTCGACATTGACAGTGGTATTTGAAGTGTTTTTGCAAGATTTCAAACCTGAAAGGATTTATAATAATTTCCAAAGGTGTTTTTGTTCAAACCTTTGGACACATGTCAAACCGGTTAAACTGGTCTTGGGATTTGGCTACTTAATGGGTTTTCACCCTGACTTGGTTACTAAAACAACGATTTAGGGTTTGATTATATAATTTAAACGTATTTCTAAGAGTTAATAAAACAATTTCTTTTTAACTTTGAATTTTATTTCAATTTTTGAGATTGTTTTTAAGAATTTTTTTTTGTTAATTTTACGTGAGTTTTGTATTTATGTTCTCAAATTTCCATTTTTATTAGCAAAAAATCAATTTTCTAAGCCAAAATAAAACCTAATAAGTCACAAGATATAAGATATAACGCTAAGTCTTGGTCTCCTTAGCAATTTCCTTCTCCAGCTGCCCAACTCAGTTCCTCATTTCTCTCATCCATGGCTTCCAGTGATTCAAGTCCCAACACAACCACCATCCCAATCTTCATCTCTGCTAATTCGCTCCACTCCATCCTAACCCACAACTCCCTGATCCAACACTTCCAGTCTTCTCTTCCGAAAGTCTCACCGACAATCCACACACCAATCCGTCAAAGCTTCGAAGTTTCACCTTCCTCCTCTCTCCTTCTCATGCCCTCTTGGTCCTCCTCCCCTTCTTTTCCCTACATGGGTGTCAAACTTGTCACTTACTTCCCTCAAAACTCCACCCTAAACTTGCCCGGAATTCACGGAAGTTACGTGCTCTTCAGCTCATCCACTGGCCAAACTTTGGCCTCCATGGATGGCACTGTGCTGACTCTTTATAGGACATCATGTGTATCTGGCTTGGCTTCAAAGTTCTTGGCTAGAAGTGATAGCAAAGTCCTTGTTATGATCGGTGCAGGCGCTTTGGCTCCCCATTTAATCAAGGCCCATTTAGCAGCTCGGCCAAGTTTGCAGAGAGTAATAATTTGGAACCGAACGATGAAAAAAGCGAGGGACTTGGTTGAGGATTTTAGCAAGAGTGATGAATATAAGGGGGTGTGTTTCGACAGTAATGAAAATTTAGAGGAAATTGTTAAAATGGGTGATATTGTGAGTTGTGCAACGAACTCCCAGGTGGCATTAGTGAGAGGTGAGAAATTAAAGGTGGGAGCTCATCTGGATTTGGTTGGATCATTTAAGCACAGTATGAGAGAATGTGATGATGAGGCCTTAAGAAGAGGGAGGGTTTTTGTGGATAATGAGGGGGCATTTGTTGAAGCTGGTGAACTTGTGGGTGCTTTTAAAAGAGGGGTGATAAAAAAGGAAGATATTGTGGGAAATTTGGTGGAGTTGATTGATGGGACAAAAACTGGAAGGAAAGATGATAAGGAGATCACAGTGTTCAAGTCTGTTGGCTCTGGCATAGTGGATGCTCTTGCAGCTCAAATGGTATATGAAAATTTACAAAAACTTGCATGAATGATTAGTATCAAAAGTCATTCAAATATTCAGTGTGCTAATAATGTCCAGTTACAGTTGATGATAATGTGAGATCACTCCTAGTAATAATTTTATTTGTTTTAAGCTTAATATTATTATCTAGATTTGTTTCGCATGTATGAAATATATCTTTTCTTGCCATTTAAAAGTTTGCTTCAATGCAGGTTTTTTTTTTATTATTATTACTATCCAGTTCTGAATAAAGGATTTACGACTGAAACTCAACAATAAAAAATTTGGGGTTCAATCCCAAACGGATTATAGTTCTTCGAATTCATACTTCAGGACTAAAAGACTTGATGACTTCTAGTGATGGAATAGCCATTCAGTATAGACTTCTAGTGATGGAATAGCCATTCAGTATAGGTTAATTTATCCGTTGAAATTTATTTCCTAATTTGAGGCACAGCTTTGGCAGTGAAAGAACTTAATTGGTGTATTGAAAGGAGTGATTTAAAAAGAAGATATTCTGCGAAATTCGGTGGGGTGATTAACGGCAGTTCACTGTTATTGTTAATTAACGCTACTTCGCTGTTACTGTTAGTTGACGGCATGCTGCAGCCACCGCTGTTAAAGTCAATTCGTCGTTCCGTTAAGTAACGTCATTTCACCGTCACCGTCACCGTCACCGTCACCGTCACCGTCACCGTCACCGTCACCGTCACCGTCACCGTCACCGTAACTTAACGCCAGACACCGTCACCGTAACTTAACGCCATTTCACCGGCACCGTTAACCCGACAACCAAAAATTTGACATGCATATGAAAACAAAAATTTGTAAATTTACTTAGCAGTCAAAATACTTTAGTTGACGCTTTTGAAAATGGGGTGATAAAAATAGGAAGATATTATGAGAAATTTGGTGGAGTTGATTAATTGAAGAATAACCAAAAGTATAAAAGTAATTTTTTTTTTTAGTAATTATAATTATGTGCAAAAAGTGTCAACTTAGCTTGATAATTTTATATTTCCTGCTGCACTAAATTGAACATGGACGAGGGGCTAATCAACACAGGTAACACTAGGAAAAGAATGGACTAGCATTCAGTAAATACATAAATTGGCCATAATCAACATCTGGCCCAATAATGTACAAAGCACATCCAAAAATAAATTAGATTTTGGTGCAAGCATTCATTTTGTAACGTCTGTCTGTTTCCTTTTTTGTGGCTTTGGATTGATCCTTGGAAATAGTAGGTCATTAAGCTGCCTCTCAGCACTATACTCTGACGTAGCCTGTAAAGTGAAATTTTTTGGCACCCATAAGTCAATTTCCAGACATTGGATATTCTATTCAGAAAGAAGACTGTAACATAGCAAAGGACATATAGAGAAAACTTTAACACTGCCTGATGTTATGCTTGACCGGAATCATCCAATTTATCTAGATCCTTGCTCTTGCTCGGGCTCGGGCACTTGCTAATTATCCAGAACACTAACTGATATGATGATAGTGCTAACCCTCCCTAAATTTATGACCCAACCAATTTGTATCCGATGGGAGATCACAATAATAAGTCGATGTAGAATCACAATAATAAGTATTGTAAGTTTGTAACGGTTAAGAATGTGACAACAAAACATGGGTGGTCTGATGGACGAGTCAAATACTCAGTTCTGTCCAATTATATAGGCATATTATTAAAAGGCCCCAATATCTAGTTGAGACACTGAATGCAGACTGCAGTATTTGGAATATACTTTCCCACCAAAAATGAGCAAAAGATATTGAAAAGAAGCATAAAATTATGTGGCATACCCGTGTCTTAAATGCGAACCGCAATGTCTGGATTTGTGTCCCCGAACAAACTCTCAAGTCAAATCCAAGAGAATCTACAGCAATAAGTGCTGCCTCCTGATGTAATTTGCAAAGAAAATTAGTCATTAAATCAATTAAAGAACTTCACAAATCTTAAAAATGGGCTTAAAATTACTTGGAAGGTGAAAAAATATGGTAAAATCTTCTCTAATATGGAAAAGCCTACATGCAATAGAGGGTAACAAGCAATATGACCTTCTACAGTGCGGGATAGCCCGTACCCTTTCAAAAACTTTCATGAAAAGATCAAAGTATAACATGTTCTATGGTAGAAAGCATGATTATCTTTAACAGTTGAGGACAACCTAAGCCCTTTCCATTCTTTCTAAAATAAATCAAAGTCTAACATGTTCAATGCCCAAAAATTATACAAAAAATTGCAGCCGTTAGGGAATTATGCCCACCTCCAACACCTAAGAGCAGATAGAACTAAATGTAACCCAACATATCAAAGAAAACAACAGTTCAATCATTTGCACAAATTATCTACTCATTTGCCCAAAAGATTTCAGAAACTCAATCAGCAAATTCTATTACCTCCACTTGAATACCCTTGGATCTCCAACATAAAGACTTGAGAGCTTGTTTGGTCTTTTCTCCACCAGCTTTCAGATGAGATATAATTTTGGCTGCTGAGTGCACAATAGCATCAGGTTGAGCAGTCCTGACGTCTTCTACTTCAACAATAGCCTATGGAGAAGCAGAGTGAAACAATTATCAAAGTCTGCATTTCTAATATGGGAGCAACAGTTCATATTAAAATAATTGTACAAAGATCATCCAAAGCAACAAGGGGGCAACAATTCTCTCTTGATTAACAATTCCATGTGCATATCTCCATTAGACCATAATAGTAACTCCTCATATTTCTCAAGTACAACAAATGAGAAAAATGCTCAAGTGGGGAAAAAAAACTCTATAAATGACCTGATTTTAGGGCCTGAACTATCAAACTAATTTCAGTTATCAAAATGTCAGAATGATCTAACTGCAAGATTAAGGTAAGTGCCAAAACGAGGAAGCAACCTCGCTAAAAAGATGTATCAAGATGTCCATAATAACATGTTTCTAAGAACTATACCGGCATTCCATTCTGCTTGCTGATGAAAGAGTAAATACCATGATCCAGACAAAGATGTTATACTTCCAGATGTCAATATAACATGTTTCTGCATTAAACAGAACTTGACAAGAAAACTATCTCATGCCACAAAACAGTTATAAATACAGAAACATTTTATATACCTGGTATCCGTGAGCCAAAATGAGCTGAACTTTAATCATCTCCAACTTATAAAATGAAGTCCCATTCATTGGGATATCAACCTTCTTTGACTCTTCTTCTAAGATCGAATTGTCTTTGGATGACTCTGATCCATGCCTATGACCATTGACTATATGAAGATTTTCTGGTTCATTTTCTACAATTATCCCGACCTGATCAATATCGGCATCATGGGACTGATTGCCAGATATATGCTTTTGGATGTCAGAGTGTTCTTCAATTAAGGCAGGCCTTAAGAAGCCTTGAATAGCTAATCCAGCTGGAGGCTCCTCCATCCAATCTACAGGATCATCTGAAGCAGCCTGTATGTAGCCATAAAAAGAAAAAGAAAGAAAGAAAAGAAAAGCTCACTAAAGACTTCACCATAGTAAATTGGTATTATGTTTTATTTACATGAAGTAGATGTTACAAGGTGGCGCAAGGTGGCGCATAAAAATAACTATGAAGAAATATTAGTAAATGCAATGATGGCAAACACATGAATTTGAGGTTATCTTCCTAAAACTATTTCCATTTGTTCAGACAAAGAATCAAACATTTGCAACGGACAATTACCTCAGAAAGCTTTTTGGCAAAATACATCGGATGAGAAGAACGCATAGTATCCAATTTTGCCCAGTCTCTAAGTGTCTCATCTTCATCTTCATCCTCAAGAACGTTATCCCATTCCTGGAAACAAGAACTTTAAATATATTGAGTCATCCTACACAGCTAGAACATTTTTTTTAAAGGGTAAATCCAAAATAAATCTTATAAGGAAAAGGAAACACACATCATCATAACTGTCATCTTCCTCGCCTTCATCCTCCTCATCATCTTCAACATCACTATCTTCACCTTCAATCTCTTCAATTCCAAAACCAATTTCTGATGGACCCGATATTGGTAACTCCATCTCCTTGATCATTTCCGTAGTATCAAAGCCTATTATCACTTGCTGCATTGAATATGAACTTAGTAAGCCATGAGAAACACACAAACAAGGGGTATTAGAATGCATATGTGCTAACAAATCACAGTGAACTAAAATATTATTGTAAAAGTATCAGTACCAATATAATTGTGTTTCCAAATGACTTTAATACAATACAAAAGAGTACCCGGTCAAAACCAGAATAGTGAATTTTCTATCAGTGCATATTCTTTCTGTTTGCCGGGCTAGACAACATTATTCTGCCTTTTATGTTAAAAATCAAGCTCTTACATCATCCAAACATCAGTTTGTGATGTCTATGTTAGTGCTTTTACATACAAGCACGTAACAGGTGTGCATGCCATCCAGGAGAATAAATTCCATACCATAATGTTATTCTCTGAAGTTAGGCTTTGCAAAATGTCCTCCTCATGCTTCACTTGAAAGTATATATCTGTAACACATCCCAGATTACACTAATGCTTCAGTTCACCAGACAAGGATTTCAAGCTCAAACTGATAAAAATAAACATGGGAGTGACAAACTTTATATACTTGACTTACTTCCATGTTCATCAGTTACATAAGGCAAGTCTGGCCAAATAATGTTATCATCGACTTCATCATTAATCAAATTTGTAATCATCAACGTTGCCTTACTATTCACCTGGCCACGATACACTACAGGAAACATTAGGTATGCAAACTATCTGAAAACAGCAATGCAGACTATTTTATAAATGTCGTGAATTTAAGGCATTTATTAGAACAAAGAGTTTCCGGAGGCTGATTTCAAACGCATTTTATTTGACAGTTTGAAAGTACAGTGCTCAAGCATTGTATCCTAGTAAGACATCTAAATATGCAGATTATCATCATCAGATCCAATCTAATAATGTAGTCTAAACATTTCTAAATCAATATGATTGGAAGTCTATCTATTGAAAGGTTTAACAGAGTTTCTTATACCGAGTCAACTCCATATAATACCTCAATAACGGTCCTAGTAGTTTCTGCATTAGTTAGTCTAGCGTCCCCACTATTCTCTGACGTTGACTCTGCAATGTCCTCAAAAGGATGATACCTTGGCCTCCCATTCTGCTTCACAGGATCTGACGCTGAGCCCAAATACTCGGCTGATGCTCGAGTCCTGTTCCTTATAAGACTAGTTCTTCTCACGATGGAGTTGCCATTTAATCTTTGAAATTTATTCCTGCAAGTTAATCATCACATTCATTGCCATCTTAACATCTATAACTCTTAACAAGACACTAAGAAACTAATAGTTTGTTTCTGAGTGCTTTTGAATACTATCGAAAGCACTTCTATGATTATCTTTATTCAGAAATACTTAGTAAGCACCATTTTCGAGAGCTAAAGTACTTGATAAGCCATTTTGCAAAAGCGCTTTTATTTTCTTTTGCAGAAAACACTTTCTGCAAAAGCACTCCCAAATGTGTTCTTTCAGGAGTCCAAGTTTTATTTTTCTAATGCTTCGTTTTCTATTAATCTCTTGCAATTAGATAAAGCGTATTGAAAAAAATAAAAAATAAATAAAGAGTTAGAATAAGATAGAGTACCAAGGAGTGCTGAAGCAACCACAGTGCGCAAGCCGGCGTGAGGTGACGTGGACACCGGAAACTTCCTCCGAGTTAGAGATGGAACGATAATCTACAATCGAAAATGTTTAGGAATTGCAAAATGTAAAGCTATGTTTGGTTGCTGAGAAAATATGAGAAAAGTAAAACAGAAACTGAAATGTTAATATTAACAACGACAGAGTTACGAGATAAGGCGGAGGAGGAACAGAAATTAGCGCCGGCGGGAAATCGGGCGGCCATGGTTGATTCAATCATCATCATCATTTTTTCAAATATTTTTATTTTTATTTTTTTCTTTAAAAGGCTTAGGAGATTTTGTGATGCACAAGCATTCTCTAGCTCAAGAAGAGGTCGTGCGAGGATGAGGTGCAAGGTAGGAATCAAGTGCAACACTAAACTGTTTCTCCCACTACAATCGGGTATGTTTGAAGTTACACGTGGCAAGAGATATTTCTGTTTTTTGGGTAAGCACTAAGTATGGCAAGAGATATTTATTTCGGTCCTAAACTAAACATACTGTTTTCGAGTGAAAACGCACCGTTTTTACCATACTTCAGCTGTTTGGATGTGACGGAAAATACAAAATAAAATAAATTCAGAGAGAAAATCCCAAAAATCATAGGGAAAAACAGATACTTAAATTATTAAAAAAAAATCTTCCCTCGACTCATCACTCATCCTCTCTGGTCTCGGCAACATCTTCAACTCGCTCAGGATTCAAGCAATGAGAAAACATTTATTTTCTCAGTAATCAGACAGAGGAGTTTTTGAAAGTGAGTGATAAGTACTGTTTTACAGCTCAAAATATCCACTATGAATTTAAAGTTGAAATTTTTTCTTCCCATAGAAAAATCTGTTTTGGGTTTAGTTTACAGTAGTGAAAAGTGTACATCCCTTATGCTGTAGAAAAGGTTTCTTTCTGGTTCATTTAACTATTACTTGAGGGAGTTAATCTATTAAGAACTAATAAAGTTTTTGTCTTGCGTTGACAGGATGCTTTGTTTGAGATACTCTTTGCCCTTCTTTACTCAAAGCTTGGAATCATCCAGGAGTTCCAGGAGTATCAGCAGTGTCGTGGTAAGGTTTTCAAGTAATTGGTAGTTATGGTGTATCCTTTAGAAGTTAAATTTCACTGAACAATGTTTGTTTCTTAATGGGAATGAAATGATTTCTCTTGAATTTGTCGTTTGATTCATTTGAATGCAAGAGTGAGAGAGAAGTAAATGAAGTGAAATTTAGTATGAGAAGCAGAAGGTTTTCAATTTCATATATTTTGGTCACGTAGTTCCTGGATATCATATTAACTGTCTATAAAATTGATAACAATTTTCAGGTATGTGCTGCAAAAGGTCCGAGACCAAGATATCCTCGGGTATGGAAAACAAGAAACAGAATTGGGACAATTTCCAAGTCCGCGAAGCTTGTTACTTGTGTATGTTATCCTAAATTTTATTCCTCTTTTTGTTTTTCTTTCTTTGTATTTTTGCCTGCCTATACTTAATAATGAAACTGATAAATTTGAAGATTGCCCTTTTGGTTGGTTCAAAATGTTTTGGCTTATTTTCGTAGTCAATGAACATTTTTAAAGACAATTGATCAACCTGAAGTTGACGTTATTTGCTTCTGGAGATAATAATCTCTTTTAGTTGATGCTTATGTAGATAAAGGAATTGTCAAATATTAAAGAGGAAATCTACGGGGCTCTTGATTCGTTTATTGCCTGGGAACTGGAGTTTCCTCTTGTTACGGTGAAGAAAGCATTGAAGACTCTTGAGAATGAAAAAGAATGGAAGAGGATAATTCAGGTATTAACAACTTGCTAATTTTTTCTCTTTTCCTTTTACTGGCTGTCTGTATTAAAGATTTCAATAAAACATATGCAGTGGAATTGTTGTAGGTAACAAAATGGATGTTGAGCAAAGGTCAAGGGAGAACAATGGGGACCTATTTTACTTTACTGAATGCTTTAGCAGAGGATGGGAGACTTGATGAAGCCGAAGAACTTTGGGCTAAAATATTTTCAGAGAACCTAGAAGGCACCCCACGCATTTTTTTTGATAAAATGATTTCCATATACTATCATAGGGACATGTATGACAAGATGTTTGAGGTATTGCCATGAACTCTCTCTTTTTGAAGTTTGAACTCTGTTAACTGATTGTATGTGATTTAATTATATTGATTACTGTGAAGGAGACTTTTTAAAGTAGTCGGAATTATGCCTTAATCTTAATACTTTTTCAAATGTATGTTATATATAATAAAAAATACTACCTAAGAGTTTCTAGATTGGGGAAATGTTGATTCTAGATAAAATCCGCAATTAGTACACTCATTTCTAAAATATCATTGCTCTGTTAAGTGTTAACCATTACCAAGATTGTATGGTGCTGGTTCTTCATTGTTGTGACTGATGATATATCGAATTGGTGCTTTTGATCCTCAGTTTTGATCTCTGTTATTATTATGTGTTTGGGTTGGGTGGGTGGAGTATTCACTGCAGCTCCGTTATTGTAATACTATCATCAATCCTTCCAGGATTTTATTTTTCTTTTGTTTACGTATTTATTTATTATTGTCCTGGTTGATATGGTTTTTCAGGGATCTCAACTATGATGCACAATTTTGAATTTTATTTTCTCTTTTCTGATCAATTTCAATTTTTTAGTTGTTTATACATTGCATACTGGTGTACCGCTGTGTCTGGGAATGTAATTCCTAGTTGTTTACTCTCGTAGGTATTTGCTGACATGGAGGAGCTTTATGTACGACCAAATGTTTCAATTGTTTCTATGATGGGGAATGTCTTCCAAAAGCTGGGTATGTTGGACAAGTACAAGAAATTAAAGAAGAAATACCCACCACCTAGATGGGAATATCGTTACATCAGAGGAAAACGTGTTAGGATTCGAGCAAAACCTATGAATGAGTTTGATTGTGCTACTGAAGGCATCAGTAAGAAGAATGAGGAAACTAACCAGAATCCAAATGAATTAGATGGGGAAGCCAAGGCATATCCGGACGAATCATTTGAGGAAGGCAAGGTAAATCCAGATGAATTGTTTGAGGAAGCTGAGGCAAATAGAATTGAATTGTTCAAGGAAGCTGAAGCAATATCAAATGAAAACATTGAAGCTAACCTTTCTTCATGATAGTCACTGGCTGATCATATCATACTAATCTCTGTCTACACTTTTGGTTGGAATTGGTGTTTCCTGTGAACATGCCAAGTTATTGCTGTCGGAAGGAACTGCAATATGTTCTTTTAAATGTATAAGTGGTACTGAAAATCAGCGGTTGGATCACACAATTTTGGTGTAAAACAGGAGATAATCTTTGTCAAGCTGCCCACACCTTTACTTGAAAGAGCAGCTTAAGAAATTTGGGTGCCCGCCCAATCCTTTTTGGTTGACAGTTGCAGGTATCAAGTTGGGTGTTAATGTGTCATCACTAAAATGTAATGGACTCTGTAGAATGTCTATTGTAGTATTGTTACACAGTTGATCAAACAAAACGTACGGAAATGCATGAGTTAGAACGTAGAAGAACTGAGCACAGGTGTCCAATTGTTGTATGCTTGTTTAGTGTAAGCACTTCGTTTCAGTTGCCCATAACGGGCATTAACTGCTGGCCATGGTCGTTATTTCTAATCTAACAAAAAAAATAAAAAATTAGAGAAGCCAATTGGAAAAGAAACTTTAATCCTATTTAACTTATCCTTACCAATCTATAACCAGGCAATATCGAAAAACAAATAACACCATTTTTTCAGTATCCCTTTGCTGTGTATTTTTATCATGCAACAAAAGCTGTAGCAATTGTATCATTGGCCAAAAATGCCAATTCTTGTACTTTAAAAGATGGTTCTGTAATATCACTAGAAGTGGCTGATCTTACAATGGTCACTACTAAAATTCGAAGCATGCTTAACTAGATAAAATAAAAATTGGGGGTAAAAAATTGTTCGTTAGAAGTATATCATGCTAGTCATGTGAAAATTTTAACTGAAAGTGCTCAAATGGGTTCTAAAACCCAGGTGATGGCTGTTGAGTTCTTTCACCAATTTTAAAAAAAAAAAAAAAAAAAAAAAAATTAAATATACGAAAATACAAAAAAGACTTATTGTTTAAATTGATCAACCAAATTATTCGTTTCACTCATCATCTGTGCCTGAACCTTCCTGTTTTGCTCCCTGTTTACCCACAGTACCATTAGCAGCAGCACCCTTCTTTTTTGTATCCTTCTCATCTTCCTCATCTTCACTGTATTCACTCTCATAATCATCGTACTCTTCTTCTTCATCCTCCTCTTCCTCATCAGCTCCATCCTCCACAATGGGTCCCTCATCAGACACAAGACCACGAGTGCCAGCCCGAGTTCGCTTCAGAACTTTAACCTTCACGTTTGTCCTTCTGTCACAACCTATCCATGAGTCGCACAGGCAGTAGCAAGTTAAGTTGTAATTACCCTCTGCTGGGGCCTGGATCTTTCCCATCACCAGTCTGGAGCCACTGCACACCCTCTCAACTGCTTCCCTAACAGCACCACTTGTCTCCTTTACAGTAGCTCCTGAACCCTCCCTAGTCTCCTCAATTGCCTTTGAAGCTGCCGTAATGGCTGCAGCTTCATCCATGAAACTAACCTTTTGGTAAAACCAAACATTGTTTGAGACAGAATCTGCAAGCAAAATCCAGAAATTTTCTTCCTTGTGGAATGGATAGTATGGGGCATGGGGCAGGGCACGGGTCAGGCCATTAGCACGTTTGAGAGTTACCCAAGCTTGAACTGTGACAATATCACCTTCCTGTATACCCTCTTCACCCTCAGTCTCACAAGTAACTTCAACTGCTACAGAAGGCATCATTTCCAATACCATCTCAACATCCTGAACTTCTGCAGAGGAAAATCCACCTACTTGAGTGAGCAACTCAGCACGATCTTGCAGGGTCATGTCCCGGAGCTCCTGAAATGTTCTCACCTTCTGCAATTGAAGTCAAGAACTCTTAATATTAAAATCAAAAGAAATGACTCATAAAACATAGCGAAATAATGCACTTAATTCAGTTAGTTAAAATAGTATTACAATTTTGTCTCAATAAGAAGGTCCACAAGTCGTTCAGGCTTATAAAAGGAAGAAAAAAAATCAACTCCATAGCCCATCTATATGACTCAGAATCCATTGCTTGAAATGAAAGATAAATATGTTTGGAAATCTTACAAAACATAAAAGGTAATTATATACAAATATGCACAAATGTAGAATGCAACTTTTCATTTTCTTTAGTCAATTGCCAAGAAATTTCATTTGGGTTTAATCCAGTCAAATCCAAGATAATAAAAATATTCTAATAGCTTAAGAATGGCTAAACATAGTATTATAGTTAAACCAATTGGAAGAAATTGCATCAGAATATCTTCCTTCAAAGCAGAAAAGCTGTTAAAATGACGCGAGCAGCAATAAATGCTAAAATATAAATTGCTAAATTGACAGCCAACGGAAGGCTGAATTAAAAAATTAATTTCTGCTATATCACAATTAAACACACTGTTTAAGGCACTGACCTTGCGAGCTATCTTTTTGACAACAGCCTCACTAAAATATGGCAGCTGCAAGAAGGGTGCATTACCTTCAGTGGATCCTCCAGTAGCCTTCCTTGAACTAAGAGGAACAGCCTGCATCAAGTCCATTAAGGCAAACAGAAATCGTAATTTTGATATGACCAAATAACAAAAAGGTTTGGATAACAAGCTACAAAGGAATGTATTAATATCAAATAACAAGCAACACACATGCAGCAATGTTTCCTCAAAGAACTGCGGAAATGTTTCTGAAACAAAATCTGCAAACAAGAAATTGTTCTCGACCAAAAAGACACAAAATAGTGATTATAGATATGAGACAACCATAGTATAATAGTGTCTAGTGCAAACTAGCAACTTTAAAATTAACAAGATAATTACCAACAAATTGGAAAACAATATTTTCCACCAGGCATACTAGACATTTAGAAGGAACCATTAAGTTAGGCAGAATTAGATTTAAGTAAGGGTACATGATGTATAAAATGCTGTCAAACTAATATTAATCAGGAACTTGAAATGTGATTATAGTGGTTACATACATTGTCCATTATATTTAAGTCATTAGAAACCCAAGCAATCGTAAATGAATGAAAACAGCGAAAATAATTGATATAAATAATTAGTCTTTGTTAATAGCTATTTAAAAGAAATAAAAAAGATGCTATTATGAAGATGATTAATAACTAGTTTTTATAACTAAGCACCTGAATGATACATTGAGAAAGCTCAACAACCCCAATTGCAGGCCTAAGCCATCCATGCCCCTGAGCATTGCGTGGAATAAGTGCCATCTGCAGAGAGTTAAGCAATAACATCAAAGAGGCTCAGAGCCCAAATAGATTTATGTCATCAACAAATGGTCAGAGAGTGGCACAAGAGAAGTAACATACATTCAAAAAGTTATTCAAAGTTAAATACCTCATACACAAAAATCAGTAGTTCACTGAATAATAAATAAACATTTGCCAAAAGAAAAAACAAAACTGAAACAAGAAGTTAATAAACAAGAGACCTATTCCTCTCATCACACCCTATCAAAATTAATACCCTCCATGATGCCCCACAAAAATGTCCAATGATAATATACAAGGATGTCCAATTGGAATTTGGAACATAAATCTCTAGAGTGGATAGTGAGGAGACAAGCAATTGAAGCTCCAAAAAAAATGCTACATAGGTGAAAGATCTATGATCTCCAAAAACAATAAAAAATTTGATTGAAGATAAAATCAACTTCCTTTTCTCTTTCATGAAACTAATTTAATCAAAGCAAGCTCATCACATATGATTCATCTTGTTGCCTTAAGGTCGTTCTACCAAAATTCTTAATACGAAGACAATAGTGCAGGCTTACAAAAGATGCTACAGTATTAAATACCTTCATTATGAATCATGTGCAGTTGGAGAACATAATCCACAATTAGCAAAAGTTACCTTCATCAATTCTTCAAGTAGGCGAGGTGCAAGTTCTAGGACACGCCTGAGATCACCTTTCAGAGCAGGAGACAATGCATCTGTTTGACGAGTCAATTGAGCCTGAATCAACAGTTCTGTCTGTATAGAAAATTTTTTGCAGAAGTAAGTATGTGAACCCTCACAAAAGGTTTAAATAACATTTTGCAATTGGCTCAATATGGCTAAATCAGAGTTCACAAAATTACTTTAACTAGGGCAGGATACTGCTTCCAGAACTTTGCTTGCTCTTGCTTAATGTTTTTAAGATCCAGATTCAATTCACTCCTGACTGACATAAAAAGCTTCTGGAGAGGTTCATCATCAGTCCTACGGACTGGAATTTCCGTATATTCAGCAGCCTTGATGAAAACTTCCATAACCTTGCTGTATAATCAAGGTATAACAAAAGGAAAACAAATATGCATAAATATGTAAAATACACATGATTTATCCAAAAAAATGAATAACTATGAAACATTATTAAGTTGTTTCCCAAAGATGGACATTACTCATGCTTCCAAACTAACAGTAAGATAACATATACAATCTTGAGCATCATCTAACTTCAAAAACTGATATGTACAAAGAGTATGGATGACTTCTAAGCCAAAAGCTGAAATCAGCTTATCGTTGGGCACTTATGATCAAAATAACATGACTTTGTATGTTAATATCAGTGCAGTTGGATACAGGCTTAGCACAGAAACCATAATGATCATGATTTTTCATAAATGCCACACAAAAATTCAGAGATGCATGAATGCATGTTCTCACCAGTAAAAAGTTACTTTGACACATTTCATCATTCAATTACCATATATGCAGCGCATATATAACTTGACATATATATAGTTAATATAATAACTTGTTTTAGGACAAGAATAATAGAAAGAAAATAATAAGAAGAAATAAGTACCTTGGGGCCAAAGAAGGCTTCATGAAGTAATAGTATGTTGACAGTGTTTGATGCATTACATAGTTTCCCGTATATTTTGATGACCTTGAAAGATAAATAACAGCTATCACCAATGGCAGGAGAATACAAACTCCAACAATCCAAAGTAAAAGTATGCCACCATATGCCCCATCAATGTCTAGCAGGAACTGCGGGAGAGCTATGCCCATTTGAAATCCCTGCATCAACAAACTGGTGTATTAGCTTCAAGAGGATTATTGATAAATTCTCAGAGGAAATAAAATTCTAGTTACTGATGGTTTTTAAAGCATGATAAATTGATCATTACCTGTCTGCCATCTGGATGACCATATTTTTCAAAATTCTCACGTGATATTGGATCTGTCAAAGCTTGATAAGCCTTAGATATGTACTCCACAAAATATGTATTGGCCTCTGAAAATATAAAAAGCAATGGCTAGTAAGCACAGGTTGATATATAAAACCTCATCTTTCTTGTTAAAGTCAAGGTCAGCTAGTCACATCCATATAAACAAAAGAACTCAAACATCTTCAACCTGGATCTGGGTTTTTATCAGGATGGTATTGTATGGAGAGTCTCCTATAGGCCTTCTTTATATCTGAATCTGAAGCTCCATGTTCTAATCCAAGTATACTGAATGGCTCAAACACTTGAATCTACATGAAAAGAAGAGAAAAATAACAATAATAATAAGCATGCAAGAAAAATGGGTATTATGTAAGAACCCAAAAAAAATCCAATTGACTAGAATACATATGTAACATAGTTTTTGACTGAAGCACAACGATCAAGTGATCATACATGGAACTAGTTCAAATTTTGAGAAAAACGTTACCTCACTACTCATACTTTTAATGTAATAAATGAGTACTATCATGACAACCCATAGCAGGACTACTGTCAAGTTACTACAGGTCGAGAAGTTTGAGATCTGTGAAAAAAAAAAAAATCAAATACATTGCAGAAGTGAATGGTATGGGTAAATCAAATATCAAAGAATATTCAAGAAACAGAAAAGGTCAATAAAGGAACTAACCCGCTTAAATATAGATTTCCGATACTTCCCTGAATTAGCACACTCAGAGCACTGGCAGTGAATGCTCTTTATTTTCTTCGAGGCAGCATGGCACAACTTTAGAATTGTATAAGGCACTAAAGGCAGGGCCATTATTGTCAAAATGAAAATTGGGAACAATGCACTATTCTCTTCAGAAGCAGCCATCGTGACCTTCTACCAGAAACAACGTCTAAAACGTAGCTGTTCCTGCCAAAAATGTCCTCATTAGAACTCCTCAATTGACACATCACAACCTAAGTCCAACTCAAGATGCAAGCTAGAATTTTTCAAAAGGTATACATCTCCAGAGTACGTTCAAAATTCAAGTGTTTCCTCAGACACATGAGTATTTCCTATACATATTCTAAAAACATTAAAGGATACCATTTATGAGGAGTAAGGTTGAAAATTGAAGGGTGGATCAAATTCCACTGAATATCCCATTACAAAAAAATATATATATATGATTAAAAAATGGACCTTTAGTTTAAAACTTTTGGCATATTTTAAGCACTTGCCTGGATTCAAGTTCACTAAAGAAAATCAATCCAATCGAAATAATCATAAAAACCAATAGTCAATTATTTATAATTAAAATAGCTATTAATATCCAATTAAAGGTTATTTCTTTGGCAGAAAGAATGCCGAATTCCTTAATTTTTATATAAGTAAAAGAAATTAAATCAAGGATAAATAAACAGAAATTGATCAATAAATATAATTAATCATGAAAAAACAGTATAAAAATCAGTGAAAAACTGCAATTACTGGAAAATATTATATCAGAACTGAAACATAAAATCAGCTAAAAATTTACATCAAAATTCAGCATTCAATATTAATTAATAAACACAAAAACATCAAAAATTAAACAATAAATATTACCTCGAAATTGCAAGAGGCAATGATATGGATAATTAAACAGATCACGATCTGCTTCGCTAACGCTCGTACGAGCGATGGCGCGGAATTATAAAGAGATAGAAAGAGAGAGAGTTTTCTTGGGTTTTGCTTATGAGATCCGAAATATAACATAAGAGCGCAGGGTTGAATTTGGTTTCCGATTCTGACCTGTGATATCTCGAGGATATATTTGTCATTTCAGCTTATGTCTAAATTATGTTTTAATTTTCATTTATGCGGAATCTGTCTTACTCTGAAATTGCATATTGGCGATTAGAAGTGTCCATTTGTGCAAGTGTCTATAGTTTAGTAAAAAAAAATTTAAGATTTTAGAAAAAAAAATATAAATCCTTTTATTAATAGTGAACCGTTAAAATTTTATAACTTAATAATATTAATTTACTATAAATCTCTTTGTTATTAACGAGCTTTTAAAATTTATGACTTAATAAATTAATATATTTATGAAATTTTCCCTTTACTTTTTATTTCTATTATTTTTATTATAATTATAATTAGAGAAAGGGGGGAAAAAAAAAAAAAATCCCCTGATAATAAGTAATAACGAAAGCCACAGTCCATCTACCATCTTTCCTTCTGTAAAAGTCCAAACAAATTTTAGAACTCCCAAACGCAATCCTGCTCTTTCAAATTTTTCTGCTCTTAACCATCAACCATGGCTTCTTCTACGGAACCCAATCCTCTCCACCACAACGTAGCCACTTTCATTAATACCACTACCACTAATCTCCTTTCTCTCCTCTCCCCTCCAAATAAAACGCCGCCGTTCCTCTCCCAACCTTACACTCCCTCCTCCAAGCTCTCTTTCCCTCCTCTTAAATTCACCGACTCTTCAGTTCGTTCACCCCCCGAGTCCACGCAGCCCGACTCACTCTCTCCCCAATCCGACGCCAAGGGCGTCTCCTCCGCCGAGTCCTTCCCATCGACGGTCAGGATTTCTGGAATCAATTCCAATGGGAAGGGCGGTGGGCCCGCCTTTGTGGGTCAGGTTTTCAGCATGTGCGACCTTTCTGGTACCGGCCTCATGGCTGTCTCTACTCACTTTGATATTCCCTTCATTTCTAAAAGGTTTTTTTTTCTTTTTTCCTCTTCGCCTTATCTCTTATCTTTAGTCTTTACAGTTACCGTTATGCTTACGTGTCATGTATGCGTGTATATATGTGTTTCTCTAGTCAATGTTGTGTTTAGGTTATTACTCGTTAGAACTTGTTATTTGATATCATAGTTTAGTTCAAAGGCAGAAGCTTGGTTATGTTGCAGTTGGATGCTTTATAGGCTTTATGATTCTGCTTTTTATACTTGTAAAAAAAATTTCTCAATGGTCATTGACTGGAGTGGGGAGGGAGTGTAGTGGCTCAATTTGATTTTACTTGTAGGGAAGAAAGTTGCAAAATGGATGCTATATATTACCAATTTTCATAAGAAAATTTTGATAGAAGTGTTATTGGAATTTAGGGTTCCTCATCAAATTCAAGACAAAGTAGAACAAGAAGAATCAAGACTCGCTTCACATTTTAACAAGAAATCCTAATTGGTTTCTGAATGAGGATTGAAGTTGTTTTAATATCACCCTAGCTTGTTTTAATACATTTGGTCATTTAAATTGGCCATTGACGAATGTATCCAGGTCTGGACCCAAGGTATTTGAAAAAAACTGATTAGTTATGTTTGTATATATATATACTTATTTCTGGTCCTTGAGTCCCCTATGCAATGAGTATAAGCTTTGTGGTAGTATCATTAGGAGTATTTGGTGTTGTGTATCTTACTTTGCTCAATTCCTCTCCATATTTTAGAAGTGTTTGACTAATTCTGTATTGATTTCTAGAACACCTGAGTGGCTAAAGAAGATGTTTGCAACAATTACTAAGAGTGAAAGGAAAGGCCCTGTCTTTCGCTTTTTCATGGATTTAGGTGACGCAGGTATGACTTGAGATTTAACAATTGCTAAGTTTTTTTGCCCATTTTTATCATCTCACGTCCTGCAATACCAATATTTAATACGCTCCTGGGTTATTGCTTCCTTATGCTAAATTTTCTCACAAATTTTTAGTACTACGTCCTTCTATTGGTATTTTTAGTACTAACTCCTTCTATTGGTGTTTTGGAACTTTATCCAATGAGTTGATCTTAAAAAGGCAATTTACAAACTCAAGTTATTAGAGGTCTTCACCTTTGAATAGATTTGTTGATGATTGTTGGAGATGTTAGGTCTGTCTGTTTTGGGTCATCTTATCATTTATTTTGTCCTTTTCCTTTTTGTTATTTCCCTCACGATGATCATTGTAATCAACCTAACTTCTCCCCTGCTGGAAAATATCTTGCATTCTGATTACGTTTTTGTTTTCAGTTGCATATGTTAAGCAGCTAAATATTCCTAGTGGTGTGGTGGGAGCATGCCGTCTTGATTTGGCTTATGAGCATTTTAAGGTACTGCTCACTTTATTTGAGTGGACACTCATTATATTTATTTGTATGTTCAAGTTGGATAATTGTTTTTGAACCTGTGTTTTTCAGCTCAACTGCCCTTTTCAATATCACATTACTGAAGATATTAGATTATCAAACTGCATTTTCTTTGCCATTTTTCAATGCATTTTTGGATGCGATTTCCATTCATTGTTGTGTTAGTGTTGTCATGTGCTGTGGTATAGGATACTTAAGTCTCTGTGAAGCTTTTAAAAATAATGATGTTTTAGATAAATGGGTTGAGCACTCTGCTTTGGGAACCCCAAAAATTGGACCAAGTAAAGAATAATCTGGGAGGTTCATATAAACATTATGAGAGCATCTTTTCTGGTCTTGGTGATAGTATGTGTATAGACCTGTTTTGCCTGCTCTGTGATATTCTTGAATGGCTCTTAGAAGTATACATTACTCATTCTAAATGATTTAGTGCATTGGTTAGAATTTATGGGCAGCATGATGCAGCCTTGGGAAAATATAAGCAAATGACTGCACTGGTTTGAAGAAAAAAATGGTTCAAGCTGGCCTTAAAATTATGTAGGGAGACAATTCTAACTAAGATTATATTACTTTAAGTTAGCACAATTTTGAAACACAATTCGTGTAGTCATCAGAAATTGTCGGGATTGGGATAATGTTAATCTGAGTGACGTCTCCAAAAAGTCATATGGGCAATTTTGCTTTGGTCCTGAAAAGTACATGTAAACCCACATATAGACAAAATACCAGATTTTCCTAGGTGTAAACTTTATTAAGTCTTTTACTTAGTCAACTTCTTGCACATGTCAAACCTTTATATTATGAATTTCTTCATTGGATTATTTTCTTTATGTTCTTTTTAATTTATGGTGAAAACCTTGCTTGCATTTGTTTGTGATGATATTTCCTTTTATGAGATTCACCAAATTCCTTTTAATCATCTTTATTATGTGCTATGCAGGATAAACCTCACTTATTTCAGTTTGTTCCAAACGAGAAACAGGTAATGTACTTATAATGTGTTTCTTTTTATTTTTTAATATATGCCTCCTGTAATGTGCTGGGATTCATTTTGAAAAGAAAAATTTGTTTCCCTCAGGTCAAAGCAGCCAACAAGCTTCTAAAGACAATTCCACAGAGTGATGGGAGAAGAAGGATTGATGGAGTGCCTGTTTTCAGTGCTCAAAATTTGGATATTGCAATAGCTACAGCAGATGGAATAAAATGGTGTGTTCTCTGTTGTATAAAACAAACAAGATTAACAATTACAGTCAGTGGACTGTATAAAACCTTTTTCTATAGCGAGACCCAGCTGAATGGGTTACATTTGACTCAATTTTATAATTTTTGGTACATTGAGAGCCTGACTGATTGGCTCTTCATCATATTCATGCTTAGAATGGATAAATATGTTGGTATCCTGTTATTCAAGGGGACTTACTCTATTGCATCATTATTCATATAAGCCCTACTTTCTTCAGTTGCTCAATTCATCTTAAAATATTCTTATACCCCTCTGCAATGTATCTGATGCTGAGTGTTACTGTTTCTTTCATCAGGTACACTCCATACTTCTTTGATAAAGACATGCTAGATAGCATTCTTGAAGAATCTGTTGATCAGCACTTCCATACTTTAATTCAAACTCGACATATGCAGCGCCGACGTGATGTAATTGACGACAACTTGGCAGCAGAAGTGATTGAAGAGATTGGAGATAGTGTATGGGAGCCTCCAGAGGTACTAAATCTTTTTGTTCTGTATGCTACTGAAAGCTGGAAGGGCAGTGATGGCAGTAAATTTAACTTGGAGATTAAGAAGTATTTGTGGTTGCTATTATTATTATTCTTTTAATATATTTATTCAGCATTCTTGACTAACTCTGGAACTGCAATTTTTTGTCTTCACGGGATTTAGAATTATTTTAAGTTGTTAAAAATTTGTAATAGGATGATGACTTTAATTTTTGTCTTCTCATGTGCATCAATAATTCACAGTCTGTTTTTTTGTGCAAATAAATAAAATTCAAATAAGGATTTAATGCTTATTATTAAATCAAACAACAGTCTGTGTGCACTGTCTTTGTTTTCATAAATTTGGGTGGTTTATTTTCTGGATTGACAATAGTATGTCTTCAGGTTCAAGAAGTGCTGGATGAGATAGGCCATCCGGGAATACCCTTAAGTGTCATTTCAAAGGCTGCTGAAATCCAGCTTCTTTATGCTGTTGACAAAGTACTTCTGGGTAATAGGTGGTTGCGAAAAGCTACTGGCATTCAACCAAAATTTCCTTACATGGTTGACTCATTTGAGAATAGGTATATCTTATGCAACTTTTGACGGCTTGCATTGTGAGATTTATGTAATATATGATACATGCCTTCACTTGAGGATCAGAATTCCTTGTTACCAATTACATCGGGCATGTAGGTTTAGCAGTTTAATGTCTCATGTGAATAGAATCTGCATTTCTATACAAGTTGATCATTGAACTTTCCTTACACTTCATGTTTCAACCATTTTCTGATCTTGACATAAGAATCAGCAGTGTGTTGAAAACTCATCCAGACGCATGGTGGCATGTTCATGAAATGATCAAATATGAATTTTCTTGATACATCATCAATGCGCTATAATGACAATGTGTTCATTCTGTTTGCAGGAGTGCAGCATCTTTTCTAAGAGCTTCCGAGTCAACCAGCTGCCTTGCCAATTCTGGATCAGATAATGGCACTTCAGATCATCAATTGGAAGATAAGCGTTTAGAAAAACACGGGCAGAGACCAGATTTTCGATTTCCTTTTGGAGATTGGTTTAGTCACCCATGGTTAAAGCGAGATCACCAATCTCAAAATACATCTTCTAGAACCAACACTTCATCTATAGAATGCACAAAACAAAACTTACAGCCAAATCCTTTTCTTCCAAAAATTACAATGGTGGGAATCTCAACAGGGGAAACAGGGCAGATGAGCAAAGCTAGTTTAAAGAAGACTATGGAGAACTTAACGAGAGAGTTGGAGCAAACCGATCAGGGAAATGCCACCAGTGTTAGTAGCAACGAGCTCAAAATGGAAGATAGGGATCCACTGTTTGTGGCAAACGTGGGTGATTATTATTCAGGCCTGGCAAAGACTGGGTCAGCTCGATTTGTTCGTGGAGGAAGCAACTAAATGAACCTTACTAACCAAATACCTTTTTTGGGCACTAGTTTCTTCTAATGTAAAATTATTCGAAAGTCAGAAAAATAATAAGAGATGTAAATTTGGTAATGCGTTGTTCAACAGGTCATTTATCATCAGTTAATTGCTCAGTTGCTTTGCAAAGCCTGTCGAATCAGATGTGAAGTATGATTGGATGGTAATTTGCTTGAGCTGGTGCTGGCCGTATGACTTGTAATTTTGGAACTTTGGTTCTTTATACATGAAATTATTGGTACCTCGTCTTGTTCTTTGCTATGATAAGCAACTTCTGCACTGTACTTGCATTCAATAATTTTGAAGCTCCAGAGTGGCTATGAATCCGGTATAACTTAGTACCAATAGTAACTTGAAACTCGAAGGATAGATGTATAACAGTTAAAACTTTGCATCTATATTGTTTCCCGGACGAAAAAAAAAATAAAAGGAGAAACTAGAGATGAGTACCAGTATCGTCAAGATCAGTTAATTAATTGAAAAGAAACCAGTCATCTACTCAGTTTATATCTCTTCATCTATGAGGAACATATGAAAACAGAGATTATCCTGTTAAATACTTCTCTTTTTCTCTCTTCATAATCCTCTTGCAAAGTGCGGAGTTCTACTATTATTATAAAGTTCCGGAAAACCAAAATAGCCGGCTTAAAGATCCTCTTAGATTAATCAAATTACTATTAATCTCTGACGAGTTGCATCTATTAAAAGAACAAAAAGCAGCTTTGAGAACTACATGAAAAACAAAACATCCCCTATTCTCATCTTCGTCTGGGTGCCCGCTGACCAAAGTTTCTGAAAGAAAGAACAGTCCCGATGGCAATACATACGAAGAAGATGATAATAAAGAAACAAGCTGCAGTATGAGATATATAGGTCTTTCATTAAGTTTTGAACCCCAAGTCTGGATGAGGAGTCACTTGAACCCCTCGTTATTATGAGTTTGCACGCAGAATTTGAGTTTCTTCAGGCAATCTCAGAAAGATTCAATATAGTGCTTCAAGAGCCATGGGCATTTTGTAATTTTTATCCCAGCAATACTAGTTTTACAAAGATATATATAAATGGGGCATATAAAGATAATTTTTACCCTTGATTTTTTTGATTTCTTTCTCTCTTTTTCTCTTTTTTCCGTTTTTTCTTTGTTTTTTTGGTCTGATGGTATCACTTTATGACCCCGTTTTTGTATGGATAGTATTTTTGTTTCTATTTCATCAACTCGTCTCTTTGATCAGAATCTAGTTCACATTACATCATCAAACAAGACAAAGTTGTCATATTTACGTGGGTCATAAAATAATTTCTTCGTTGCATTTTCTTCTTAGCCCTCACCTAGCTAGAATATAGATTCTCTGCATGTACACTTTTGACACTCCATCAAACTGACATTTGCAGGCATGCATTACTTACTTTGACTCAATTCATGATAGTAAGTAGTTTTGGAAATCCCTTGAGAAAAGGTCAAAAAGAAGATCTTTTTTTTCCCATTTGGGCTGATATTTTTTTTAGTTCATGGAAAGTTTTGACTTCTATACAATTTTTTTCAAAAATTTAGAACAATATAACTCTAAACACTCACCACATATAATTGAATAATTCTCAAAATCCTTTAAAAGCAGCACTAAAAATGTAAAAAGTTGACTTTAATTTTTTCTTTTTTTTTTCTTTTGTGCTAGTTTCCTGTTGTCTTTGGTTTAATCCAGTCCAAGAAATCCAACGAAGCATCCAATTTAGTTGGTTTATTTGCACTTTCGTTTCTGTGCCGTTCTTTCTCTCTTGTGACGTATAATCATCTATTAACATGTAAAAAACAAAACCGATTTTGAAAATAAAAAACAAAAACAAAAATAGTTTTTGAAAAACATGAATAACAGTCATGATAACTAAGAAGAAAAACACACATTAAAAAGTGGTGATATATTAAAACACGCTTGAAATGAAATTCAATGAATTGGTGGGCAGTGATGACCTTGATCTCCCTCAACGAATGGAGTTAAAAAGAGGAAATAAACAGCTGAACAAAAGAAGCAAAAATGAATTAGTGGGGAATGGGGATTCATGAATTACTCATAAATCCATCCATCTCAACTCTTTTGGCAAAATTATATATATATATATATATATATTTGACATCTCCGATGCCGAACCCAATACCCGGCTCCCACTCATTGTTTTTTTTTCTCTTCATCAATCATCTCATATCTATCATTTCTCTTTCACAACTTGCCTAACCCACCCCCTCTACAACAAAACTCTGTTATCTCATTATCATTATAACAATCAAATCACTTATCTTATTATTGCTGTTTCATAAAGATATAAAGACAGACACCCCACCTCCAACCTCCATCCATCTCTCATTCTGTGTACATATTTCAATCAAGTCTTATATAATTGAAAATGGTGTTTTCCGTTTCTCCTTGTATTTGACAATTAGGTCAGTTAGCTTATTATGATCACTATGTCTATTCTATCTATGCCGTTGATGAATCCGTTTCTTACTTTGCAAAACACGTTGATCTTCTACTTTTAGACGTTTACTTCCACAAAAATCATTCATTTTCATATATAGTAATTATAAATTTCTGTTATATATAGCTATAAATCTACTACTAATCATAAACTTAGGGTTTTCCATATTTATAAAATACAACTATATATTTATAAATCTACGTGCTAAAATCTAGGAGGACGGGTTTATTTTTCCAATACTTAGTGCGATATTCTAAAGTCCTATATAGGGGTGATCGGTTTCGAATACCCTACTTTTTTTGAAGGAATTGAAATTAGCCGATTCCTGAGATTTGGAACCGAAACAAGAACCAGAACTATCCACTTCCAGTCCCTAGAAACCTAGAATCGGAACCTAAAACATAGATTCCGGTTTCGGGTACCTAGATTAATTTTAATTATCCCCAAAAAATTAAACTACAGTCCTAATAGTTTATAAAAATTACAATTCAGTCCCAATTTCTACCAAGGTATTTGGAGCTCAGATCCGGTTCTCAGTTCCAACATTGCATAAACCGAAATCAAACCTAGGAATTCCCAATTCCAATTTTTCAGAACCAGAATCGATGGGTCAAACAGTCTATTAGGCTAAATAATGCAGTGTATTGTGATTATATCCAATCCAATCTAGTACTACGATAACAAATAAGGTGTTAAAAGAGTTATATAATTTTGTAACAATATTTATAGAATAGAAGTAGTTAATTTATACATACATCAAAGATCTCATTCCTCCACAACTAAAAGTTATGGACCTCCTACGACAAAGGTAAGAATGTTTGCATCATTTATTCTTGTGGGTGGTCCAAAATTATAACAATTAATCTTTTAAATGATTATATATATAATATATTTGTCTACTTATTCTAATACATGAACATATTGCAAGTCCTTTGTAGCAACTCATATNTACATTAGGCTAAATAATGCAGTGTATTGTGATTATATCCAATCCAATCTAGTACTACTTAACAAATAAGGTGTTAAAAGAGTTATATCATTTTGTAACAATATTTATAGAATAGAATTATTTAATTTATACATACATGAAAGATCTCATTCCTCCACAACTAAAAGTTATGGACCTCCTACGACAAAGGTAAGAATGTTTGCATCATATATTCTTTTAGGTGGTCCAAAATTATAATAATTAATCTTTTAAATGATTATATATATAATATATTTGTCTACTTATTCTAATACATGAACATATTGCAAGTCCTTTGTAGCAACTCATATATCGTGAATTTGAAGGAAAATTAAAAGTATCTTTTGGGCAATTTAATGTTCACTTTTTTTTTTTTTTTCTTTCTTTAATACACGAATCTTCTATCATCTTCAATATATCATAATATATACTTTTATTTTTTCTTTCTTTTTGTCAAAAGAAGGTAGGAAAAAGAATATTATGACGCACGGGATATCCTTCTTCTTCTTATTTCTAGAACCTTTTTTTTATATATTTTATTCTCCAATTAGTTCACGTAATTTATATTTAGCCCTTAATTAATTCATTTAAGTTTATAATAATTATGTTTCCCCTTCTTAATTATTCAAAATTTATCACGATTTCATGGTATTACGCCAATTTCACGTTAAAAACATTTAATCAATTTTACTTTTATTTACTATTTAATTATTAATTGTAAAATATATTAAAACAGCTTTCACTGCTTAGTAATTGAGGGAGGAAATCTTTATTTATATCAACCCCTAAAATATACTTGATAATTCATATCAATTACTATATAAATTTAATGTAAAATCCATGGTTGATTTAGAATGATTGATTCAATGAGGATGTGATCACTTATGATCTTCTCGATCTACACACAAAGAGATGAACACAAAACTCATAATGAATAAAGGTGTGGTCTATATCGTATACACTTTAAAAGAAATTTAAATACAAAATCAATAGATTAAATTGTAAATAATATTTTATTATATGTATACACTTTATTTATATAATGATGTTGAAAGTTAATTAAGAAAATTATTTAAAAGATTTTAATTATGGAAGATTTACAGGACTATTTGCTCATACACTATTGTAGAATCCAGACCGTTAAAAATGCAAAGATTCCCACATAAAAAGCATCTATAAAAACAAGCCCATGTTAAATGGTTCAAGATCCATCACCTAAAGATGGCATATATGGCAACTAACACAGGAACATTTTCTTTCTCCTTTATGTCTCTTTGTAGGGAGTATGTGGCTCCATCAAATCACGAAGATGTGCTACCACGTTCCTCTGATCAACGCTCAGGATTTATTTGCCTCTGTCAACGAGTGACAGCCCCGTGAAGCCCTCTCCCCTGAGACTGCAACGTGACAAACAAGAGCTTTAAAGCTTTTAAATTGAATTTCAGTTATTTATTATAAATATTTCTCTGCATTCAATTTTAGAGAGTTGAAGAGATGCTGTGAGTGGTCTTTTGGAGAGATAAAATGACCAAATATAAAAATGGAACTGTGGACCCCCCATCCTTCATTTACAGACGCGCGCACTGACGGTGGAGAGACATCAACTTCATTATGTGTAATGTGTTCATGCAGGTGCAAAGCACCATGTCAAAGCTACTTTCGGGCTCATGAAGTTGACGTCCCGAAACAGCGCGTGCATTTCCATGCCTGGGTCCTTTATTTAAAAAAAATAAAATTATTAAGAGTATCGAATTTAACCATACAAGTGAGATCAACTCAGATTTTCATTTTTTTTTTTTTAATGATATTGATATTAGCCTAAGATGTGAATATTAGTTTAATTTTAACATAACATATTTTCATTTAAATAAAACCTTCATCAATTGTTTAAAATCTTATAAATCTAATTTATCTGACAGAAATAAATATTATAAGCTTTTTTTATAAATTAATAGAAGCTTTGTTTATTAGTTTATACATTGAATATTCTCAAAATTAATATTATCAGATCGGATGAATCCAATAATAGACGTAGATTGGTATTCCAAGGTTTAAACATAGCAATATAACCTTCCCTCACGCAGGCTTACGAATTGTAACTCATTAAAGTGGAATGTAGCCCAACGGCAAAATATGTCATGACAACATGCTCATGTGTACAAAGAGTGAATCACACACTTTTCAAAGTGCGAGTGGTATCACTTTCATCCACGAATGCACACCAGTGACCAGTTCACATACAAATCTCCAACCAAATCTCGAGTACAAACAAAGTAGAACGCAGCGTTTAGGGTAGTTGATAGGCATTGAAGAACCATCTCAGTTACACTATCTCTTATTGCATCCTTGGGTCCCCCCTTTGACAATTAACAAAGTCAATGAAAAAGGAGTTTGGTTTCTCATTAGAGAGAGAAAACTAATGATACCCACACAAAAAAATAAAAAAATTACAAAGGCTTTATTGGCTTTTTTCAATAGGGGTATTTTTGTTCTTTTCTTCGTGTATAAATAATTAACAATTACCAAGTCAAGTGCTCCACCATACCAATTCCTCTCTCTCTTCTTACTCTGTCTAAAATCTCTAATTTATTATTATTTCATACCTAAAAAAAGTCAGCGCCGTCCTTTGTGCCTTCTGTTTGTCTCTCCCTCTCTCTCTTTTAATTCTTGCCCAATTACTGATAGAGTTATCAGAAAAACATAAAGCTAGATTGGTTTATTGATAGTTTCAAGGTTGATTTGTCTGCTTAAATGGCTGAGAGATTGTATCCAGTTAGAGGGATTTTTGCAGAGAACTGGGATCTGGACGCGGTGGTCAGAAGTTGCTCTTCCGCCATTGATACCACCACGACATACTCCCGTGAGGCCAGTAATATCACCCATGAAAACGCTACTGTTTCAGAGAATCCTTTGTCTGTTTTGGCTTCTTTGAAGTTTGAAGAAGAGGAAGATCCATTTTCTTTTCCCAATCTTGTACAGGAGAGGAGCAATGGTTTTGAAGAATTGCAAGATTCTTACAAGTCCTTTTTCTCAAACACTACTACCACCAACGCCACTGGCAAAGATGACATTTTTAGCTCTTCAAGTTCTATTATTGGAGGATTGAACAGCCAACAACAACAAGTAGTGAAAACAAGCATCAATTCTCCACTGACACCCACCAGCTCTCCTCTTTTTGTTTTCGGAGAGCCCAAAAATCAACTACCACGACATGTACAGCAACAATCACAGCGTCTGCAGCAAGATTTACAGCAAAAACAACAACACCCACAAAGTCACCCTGGGACCATTTTGTTACGGCCCATGCAATCTCAGCCACCTCGATCTAGAAAGAGGTAAGTCAAGCTTTCTCATTCTTCTTTTTAATGGCGGAGTCTAAATCTGAACCCCAAAAAAAAGAAATTAAAAAGAAAAAGAGAAATGTCTAAAATCGTCCATTTTCAACAGGAAGACCCCGCAAAAGAGAATGGTATGTCATGTCACGGCCGAGAATCTCTCCGCTGATTTGTGGGCTTGGCGTAAATACGGGCAGAAACCCATCAAAGGCTCCCCATATCCAAGGTCTATTCTCTTTTAGCCTTCACTAATCTTCCACTCTTTTTTTCTTTATTCTCTGAATCTGAATATAATGATTATAATTAATCTATACTGTTTACATATGATTAATTTTATTACGCAGAAACTACTACCGGTGCAGTAGTTCAAAAGGGTGTGCAGCAAGAAAACAAGTGGAACGCAGCAACACGGATCCCAACTTGTTCATTGTGAGTTATACAGGCGACCACACGCATCCTCGTCCGACTCACAGAAACTCACTGGCGGGAAGTACACGAAACAAATTCTCCAGAACTCAAACTTCCCTCACCAATAATAATAAAGATGCAACGGCCCAGCCGACCACAACAAGCGGTAACGCTTCATGCTCCTCTCCTCTCTCGTCCACGAGCCACTCGCCAGCGGCCATGGAGGAAGTGAAGAATCAATCAGAGGGAGCTGACGTGGACAGTGAGATGGTAGAGGAAGAGGATGATGAAGACGATCTTCTTATTCCAAACTTAGCAGCCGCTGTGAATGAAGATCTATTCAAAGGGCTTGAAGAGCTCAGTTCTTGTGTTGCTAGTGGTGGTAGTAGTAGAGGAGGAGGAGGAGGAGGAGAGGGGTAAGAGCATAGCAGCCCAGTTCCCACCGCCGGCTGTGGAGCCTGTCGCCGGAGCTGGGCTTCCATATATAAAATATTTTTTCTTATTTTAATTTTCTTTTGGTAGAGTACAGAAACGGTATACTTAAGATATTTTTGTACACTTTCCTTTCAATCCTTTTGTCTATTAAAGATTTCGTTAAGAAAAAATCTGGCTGTTTACTCTCTCAAAGTTATTACTTAAAATTTGTGTTAATATCTGATTAATATAAGATCTGTAATTGCATCTCAAAGATTTTGTTAATTTAATTTGATTATCATGATGATCATGAGGTGATTAATTCATCTACAATTGGCCATGCAATACAGGAGGGTGAGAATGAGATGACAAAAGCAACAGCACATGTTTTTAACAATAATTGAAAAGTTAATTGGAGAAGGTTCATTTCCTTCCTTTGTTAAATGATTATATTGTCCCTTAAAAGCCTCCTAATGTTCTCTTAAAATCAGGGACAATTTTGGTTGTTAATATTGACTTCAATATCAGTATCCTATGTTACCGTGAGTGAATATAGTCAAGTAATTAAAGTTTTTTAATAATAATAAAATGGGTTAATTATTAATCTTAATAATTAATAAAAAGTTGTCGGTAACAAGTATGTAAGGAAGGGTTTAGAAACCGTGACACCGAGTCTGAATTTGAGTTGGCTTTATCACGAGACAACCAGCCAAACTGGAGATCCCTTTCTGTCTGATCTGTTCATACTGTTGTGTTGACTTGACTCTTCTAACTTCTAGGGTCAAATATTTTTTCATTCTCAGAGATAAGACTTGGTCAAACTGAAATTGTTTTATTTCTATTTTTATAAGCTAATTAAAAAAGAAGGCAAGGGGGTAATAAATTATGTGTTTACATGTAACTAGAGCATTCCAAGCATGAAATCACCCGTAAGCTATCCGAGAAAGAATCTAATGATGCAAGTTGTTAAGCTATCTTATCTTTAATTAATTAACCTAATTTTTGGAGAAATGTGATGGGGGTACCTTCTGTTCAGAAGCCCTAATCAACGTGTCAAAATATATATAAAACAAGAAAATTAGTGGAATTAATTGGATTTAAACTTATCTATGGATGATCGGCTCATACGATAGAAAATCTTAAGTATATTACTTAAGATATTTGAGTTCAAATTTTTCTTCGGTTGTTAATAGGGATAGTCATTAGAATTCTTATTCGATTAGTAATTATAGAGACTTGAAAGATTAGTTTAGATACGCGGAAGTTAGTCTGAAAACCTCCCGTCATAAAAAAAATAGGTGGGGGATTTAATATTACTCCGATTTAATCACCTTCATGCTTCACACTGATTTGATAGTTAAATTATATCAATTATTATCAAAGGAGAAATATTATATTTGATATAACAGTTAGTTTATGGATTCAAGTTTAAGTATAATAGTCCATAATTAAGCAATTTGAATTATTTTATAAATTCTAATATTAAATATAAATCAGTAGATGTCAATATGTTTACTTTTTAGGGCTTACATGAGAACACAATCATACTATTTTTGAAATACAATCAAACTTTTTAACGGATTAAAAAATTGATATACTGAAAAACGCCTTTTTACTTTTTTTTATAAATAAAAATACATTATAATGATCATATATGTTATCGGTTATCCATTGTTGTCTTAATGTGTGTCCTAAACCACCACTGAGTGTGTGGTCAATTATGACCCTTAGGTTTATTATTTGAGGTCTTGAGTTCGATTCACCTTGTTACTAATAAAGGTAATCACTGGAGCTCTTACTCGATTGATAATTTTAGGGTTTCAGAAGATTAGTTGAGGTGCACGCAAGCTGGTCCGGACACCCTAATCATCAAAAAAAAAATTCGTGTCCTAGATTTTACAATTATTTACTTTCAATTATATTCACTAGTTAATCCAAATCTATCTCAGATTCTATCCTTATTCCTATGCAATTCTATCTACACCCTCTACCATTTATTTGTCAGTTTTCGTTTTAGGCCAGGTCCAACAAAGCCCTGTGCATGGCCTATTGGGCCTATCCATGAATTTCTCACTTAAATGACATCGGAAAAGCAGCTCTCCATTTCCCAATCGGCCCGCATAAACATACCGCAATATCACGCTCAAATGTACAGCACTTGAGAGGAAGGAGAAGAGAGAAGTGCGAAGGATGTTCCTACGCGTGATCGCACGGCCATTGATGGCCAAGGTGAAACAAACGACGGGGATCGTTGGACTGGATGTGGTTCCCAATGCGAGGGAAGTTCTGATCAATTTGTACAGCAAAACCCTAAAAGAGATCCAGGCCGTTCCCGAAGATGAGGGATACCGTAAGGCGGTGGAGAGCTTCACACAACATCGTCTCAAGGTTTGTCAAGAGGAAGAAGACTGGGAAATGATCGAGAAACGCCTCGGATGTGGCCAGGTTGAGGAGCTCATCGAGGAAGCCCAGGACGAGCTAACGCTCATCTCCAAAATGATCGGTCCGTTCACTCACTCGCTCACTCTTCTTTAATGTGAAAAATTTATCTTTATTAAATTAAATTTTATTGGTTTAAAATTTGGTATGTTGTTGATTGCTCCAATTAGCTTTCCGGCTCCTTTGTTAGGAACCGTAATGTGATTGTCTGGGGCGATTCTTTTATGTGCCAAGTTACAGATTTTCACAGGAATTTACTCTTTTGTTGGCATCCTAATGAAACGTTTTTTATAACTTGAAGTGTCGTATGGACTGAAGCACAGGGTAAGATTTGAATGATTAATTTCAACGCGGTACTAGCTTAGAAGCTCTAGCAAATTATTTTATGTGCTGTGCACGAATTCTCGTAGGCATAGCCTCCCTGATAATACATTAATTAGTAGAGTTTTCACAACCGCTGACAAAAAGTTGTTGATAGTCTGGGTGTCGAATGTGGAAGTGTTATTATGAATGAGTTTGAATATTTCAGTGTTCTAATTAATGAAATTTAAGCTTCCTGTATCAGCTCACAGTGATGCTCCCGAAGAAGCTCATAAAGGAGACATTAGAAGAGCTTCTCTATGATCAAAAAAGCATTTTTGAACCTTTAATTGAAATACAACTTGCCCTAGAAAAAGCCATATAAAATGGGCTTGTAGCCTACTTCTTCATTCTGAAGTTTCAGTTCTTCCCAATCTGATTTTGGGTCCTTATGTAAGTGTCTAGTGAAACCCCTGGCAGCCTTCCGTGATTTAGTTTCTTTGCAAATTGATTCAAGATGCTGCTTGATTTACATACTGGACTTTCTGACGAGGCTAAGGTGGCATTTTCTTTTTTGCCTTAAAGTTGAATATATTTGTTATTTGAAAAAGTCTAAATGTACAAGTCTGATTGATATGTTTGTTTTTTAATTTTCAATGTCTGATTATAAGTATTGAATTGTTTGTTTTTATATTGGAGAAGCATTTTAAAACCAATGTTTTGACACATATATCCTTATTAAGTATAATATAGTTTTATATTTTATATGTTTTCAACAATTTTAAATTATCAAATTTATGAAAATTAAAACAAAACTAATTTATTAATTAAAAAGAACTATGTTATTATATTTTGATATAATATTTAAAAATTTTATTATAACAAAAAAATAAAATAATTCTAAAAATACATAATGCATAAAGGTTTTGTCAAAATTGGAATTATATATTTTAGTATCAAGATAAAAGCCAAATATTGTAGCTTTTTCAGATATAAGTCAAAAAACAATCAATTCTAAAACATTTGAATCCACTAAAATTAGACATTAAGACTTAAGATAAAAACCACAAACAGGCCCTAAGATTAATTACTCTAAAAATAGTGTGTCAAAGCTACATTTGAGTTTGCAAACAGTCTGGATGCTAAAAAAGTCTTTTCATGTTGCTGTAAGCTATGAACGTCATTCTTTTTCTTGTTCCTGTCACAACATTTCTGTTTGATTAAATTAAAAAGGTTTCCCTTTGTCATTTGACATCTCTAATTGTGGAATTATTATTATTACTTTTTATTTATACGGTTCTTCAAGTTCTAGAAATGGTTCAGAAAGGGCTCAATACTGAACGATTCTTAAGTAAGTGCTATATATTCTTATTTTTATCATACGAGCAACCTAACTTTCTTTCTCTTTTTGATAATTACATGACACATTTAACTTGGTACCTTTCACTTATAAGATTGTGATGTTCACTTGTCTAGACATGATGCTAATGTCTTCCATTTTCTTCTAGCTCCTTTCTAGTGAGGCCTCCTATTATAATCAGTTAGTGATAGACTAGCCTTGCAGTATGTTGAATGCTTATCTTGAGTAATTGAAGTATGGGTTAATCATCAAACTATGCGATAATTTTAATCGAAGATTTATTTCTATGTTAGATTTGTATTACCTATTTTTTTGTCATTTAATTCATGAAAACAGCTCACATTTTGTTAGTAATAGTGTGTAGAATGTGCTTTGGTTTATTGCAGAGTGGGATCCTTGGGGTGTTCCTGATGACTATGAATGTGAAGTTATTGAGAATGATGCACCGGTTCCCAAGCATGTTCCTCTGCACCGACCCGGTCCTCTGCCTGAGGAATTCTACAAGACATTGGAGGCTGTTACCAAAAATGATGCTCCTGCTGTCACCTCTGGTGAGTCACAGCCTAAGGAATAATATGCTGCTGGCACTTGTCTGGAGTAACGATTAGTTTCATGGTTGAATTTGTTTTTTCTTAAAGATTAATCTTGTTACTTTGTATCCTGCCTGTTTTTAGGTTGAATAGAGTTTGATTAATGAGACAAAGGCTTGAACTATCCGGTTAATAATCTTGAGATGAACAGGTGTTACAAGATCTTTTTTGTTTTACCACATCTTATTTGTGCATTCCAGTGGAAATGATATTACTTATTTGTCTGGCACAATCACCATTTGGCTTTCAAAATTAGCATCTGGCTATTGTGCAGAACCAAACTTGTTTATCTGTATCTGATTTACTCTGAAATTGATGCTGAAGATTTTGCGAAACTATTCACTATTGAAAAATGAAAATAGTCAGCACTTGGGTCAAGCTCCTTGGAGATGAATCAGAATGTCCAACAATATTTTTTCTATAATTAAGGGAACTCAAACTCATCATGTTTCGTCCAACAATATCGTTTCTATAATTTAATGAACTCAAACTCATCATGTTTCGCCTGTTTACAACTTGACTCTGGTATCAACTTCCAGAATCCAAACAAGCAATTTTAAATGGAGCTGTAACTCATCTTCCTCTACTTGTAAGGCATCTGAGCAACTGATTTCACAAACCTGAAACCAGAACAAGAGACCTCAGAATTACCCTCCTTCTCGCCTTTCCCCAACTCACCAAATGCAGGAAATAGTTCCAACTGCTGTGCAATTCATATTCGTACAGATTTATACTCGATATTGCGAAGAATCTTTTAGCAGCAACTACTTTCGCAGGAGGTTAAACATTGAGGATGGGGCTTCGGCTTAACCACTGCAGAATTCATCAGCTCAGGACGCCAAAACAGAAGAACATGGTAATGAGTTGATTTTTAGGCGCAAACAATTTGGATTATTTTCGTGCTCGCTTTGCAATAGTCATGTACTATGCAGAATAAGCAACCGTAGTTAGTTCCAGTATTTTCCAAAAGTTCACAGGGGCTAAAGCCTTTTGAAATTTCATAAGCCTGGCCATTCAGAGTGATTGACACAGTAGCCATCAGCTTCAATTCAAGCTGCCAAACTGTAAAACATCTCACAAATTCTTTTCCCATTCTCCTTGTGAAAGTAAATGGCCTCGTTCAAACTGGAGAAGTGGACAGATACAGTATCAGTATTGAAAATATTCGTAAAAGGCATTACAATCTAAATTTCACAGCCTAGTCAAAACATCACTGGATAAGCAGGAAGCAGATACCAAACTTTAACCTGACGGAAGAATCATCTATCCTGACTGGGAACTGATCCACAAGGTCTTGGAAAGTCTCGTTCCAGAATTAAGACTACCAATGGCCCTGCACAAGCATTCATCATGAAGGAATGAAATCATTTTCCATGGCTCACAATGCTCCCCATGGTCCATATCAGTAGTCACAAGGAATAAGATGTTAAAGGTAATCTCTGCATATAGGTTATAACTATACGAGTCTTTCATGTATTTAGAAGGCTGAAAGACTGAATATGCAGCAGCCTAATATACAATATCTCACTCCATGTCTTCATATTGATATATGTAATCCTTAAACTCTGTTATAGCTCAGTCTATTTTCTTCATGAACCCCATCTTCAGCATGTCCCGCAATAAAGAGATGAATCTTGTTCCCATATTCCATCGAGCTTGGTTCAGGATTCATCAAACCTCTTTCTCTCATCATCTGGAAAGTATTCTCAGCTAAATCAGAATGGCCAGTATTATTATACAGGTCTGCAAGCAGCACATAGAATGCTGGATCTGAAGGGTCAAGTTCGAGCCCTCTCCTTGCTATATCTTCCCCGAGAGGTACATTCTTATGCATCTTGCAGGCACCCAGTAATGTTTTGTAGATCAGAGCATCTGGCCTAAAAGGCATAGTTTGTAGCACATCCATTGCCTCCTCTAGCCTGCCGGCTCGTCCAAGAAGATCAACTAAACGAACATAATGATCAAACTGTGGCAATAAATAATGCACTTTTTCCATAGACTGGAAATACTCAAGACCCAAGTCAACCAGTCCACCTCGACTACAAGCAGAAAGCACTATCAAATATGTAACATAATCGGGCTTGATTCCTGCTAACCTCATATCATCAAAAGCTGAGAGAGCAAAGGAGATATACCCATTTGATGCCAATCCAGATATCAATGTGTTCCATGACACAACGTCTGGCTCAGTTATTTCCCTAAAAACTCTGTGTGCATCAGATAAAGATCCAGATTTCCCATAGAGGTCAACTAGGCTATTTGAAACTGAAATCCAGCAAACTAATCCAGATTTCATGGAATGGCAGTGAAGTTGCTTTCCAATTTCCTCCCCAGCCAAGCTCGCTGATGCAGCTATGAAGCTGGCCAGGCTAAATCCATCCATCTTGACATTGTCATTATACATGTGAGTTATGATGTTCAACGCCGCTTCATGATGACCCATCTGATTCATTCTTGTGGCTAAACTTGTGTATGCGGCAGCATCTCGGTGACTCATCTTGCTAATCACTTGCCATGCATCATCTACTAATCCCAACCCAGCATAAGCATCCACTAAAGCATTCCCAACGACTATATCATCATCCACTTCTGTTTTGATAGCACATCCATGGATTTTCGACAGTTGGCTTACAGATTCTACTGTACTGCAGGCCCCAAGAATACTCGAGATTGTAAAGGAATTTGGTTGCACTCCTGAAGCCTGCATCTCCTCGAAAAGTTGAAAAGCTTCTTGATGAAAACCATGTTCGACAAAACCAGCAATCAAAGAGGTCCAAGAGATGACATTTGGTGAGCTTATTACTCTAAAAGCTCTCAAGCCACTTTCTATCATGCTGGAACACTTTAGGTACATGTCAACAAGTGCATTTCCAACAGACACATCATCCTCCAATCCAGCCATAATCACTCGTGAATGAATCTGTCTCCCCAGATCCAAAGATAGAACTGATGAGCATGCACCCAAGATACTAGAATACGTGAAGTTATTTGGTGCTACTCCACAAACCTCCATATCATGAAATGCAGCAACAGCCTCTCTAAACTTCAAGTTCTGAGTAAACCCAGATATAATAGTAGTCCATAACAACACATCATATTCAGGCGTCAAATTTGAGACCTTGATAGCATCTTCCATCCTCTGGCATCTCGAATACATATCAACAAGGGCAGTTTTCAACACCACATTCATCTTGACTCCCCGAACAATCATGTGACCATGAACCAATCTTCCATAACTTAAACCAAGAAAACAGGAAGCAGCTAAAATTTTCACAAAAGTGAACTCATTTGGATGAACACCGGCCTCAATCATATGAACGTAAAATTGCAAAGCCCGGCTCCATTTTCGCTCTTTAACAAACGAAGAGATCATTGTAGTCCAAGAAACAGTATCACCGTTTTCCATACATGTAAATAACTTATAAGCTTCATTAGTGAAACCCCATTTGGAGTATAAATCAATCAAAGCACTGCCCGAAAAAGGATTTGATTGAAATCCATATTTGATAACATAGGACTGAACTCGAGTTCCATAGTTGAATTCACCAAGAGCAGAACACGATCTCAAGACACTCGAAAACGTAAACTCATTGGGATATTGACCAGAAATCATCATACAATAAAACAAATCAAGCGCCTCGTAGTGTTTTTTATTCTTAACATAACCAGACAAGATCCCGGTCCAAGAAGCGACGTCTTTTAGAGGCATTTCATCAAAGAAGTGGCGTGCATTTTCCACTCTGGAGCATTTTACGTAAAGCGAGAGCAAATTGTTGTTTAAGAATAATTTATCCTGAAGACTCAACTTGATAATTGGGCTGTGAATGCATATACCTTCTTTGAAAGACTTGGAGTTGCATAATGAAATAAGCCGCGAACAAGTTTCTTCGAGTCGGTAAATTTCAGTTCTGTTTACAATGTTGGTTACTGATTTTGATATCATCTATTGGTTTTGTTGGTATCAAAATCGAGCGGCAGTGCGTGAATTAAACTTGAGTTAGGAAGGCGTAGGCGCGCACAAGGTTTCTTTTATAAGTAGTATTTGTTCGGCTAGATAAGAACAGTTGGTAACGGGATTTTCTTTGGCATGGTTTAAATATTTTATGTGTTTTTTTTTTTTTAACATTTATGAGTTCATCGTTGCAATTATAAGACTATCATTGGTTTATGATATTGTTGCATTGATCTTATGACTAGTTACACAGCCTCGAGTGTTTTTGAGATTAAAAAAACCCTATATGGGTTCGGTTGTTTTAGTATTTTAAAAAAAAAAAAAGTAGGGCTTAGTTTATTTCACTTTTTGGAATACTATTATTAGTATTCCTACAAAAGTTAAACAGTAAAATGTTATTATTCCCAAAATATTATTCTATATTTTTTAATTTCTTTTAAACCTTCTAAATTTTTTAATTTAACTTAACACCCTAAATATTTTTTTTAGAAATTGCAAAAACACTCTGGCCACCCTCTGACAGTGGTGGCCAACTGTCCGTATTTAATGGGTGAGTTGGGAGTGTTTTTGTTAACTTTTAATAGAGGTGTTTAGTAAATAAACAAACATAAGAGATATTTTTGTTAATTTCTAAATCCTACATCATAATACCCACCTAATTTAACTTTTTTCAAAAGATTATTCTAAAAACTATCAGAATAATGAACCAAAGGGAGCCTAGGTGGTAATAACGAGGTAAACTTTAAAAATTAATAAAAATACCTCTTAGTTTGTTAATTTATTAAACACTCCTGTAATAAAAACATTAAAAATTACAAAAACACCCCACCCATCCATTAAATACCGACAGTCGGCCACTATCATCAGAGGGTGGCTGGACTCACCGTATCGGTGCATGACCGACTGGATCTAGCCGGTCTTGCACCAAGATGACCTTTTCCAGCCAAATCCACCGTGGATTTGGTTGGAAAATGCCAGATCTATGACTAGATCTGGCCATTGACAACCAGATCTAGCCGTGTTTGGTCGTCAACAACAACCAAATCTTGGCTGTAGTTGACGACTAGCTACGGCCAAAGATCTGGTCATCAATGGCCAGATCTTTGGCTGTAGATCTAGCATTTTCTGGCTAGATCTACAGTGAATCTAGCTAGAAAAGGCTATATCAGCGCACTACAAGCCATATTCAACTGGTAGTATGCCATTAAACCAGATTCCGGCCACCTTCCGACATAGGGGTTGTTTAGTTAAATTAACAAACTAAGGAGGTTTAAAAATAATTAAATATAATATAATAGTATTTTCAGAATAGGGAAACAAATGTGTATTTTGGAAATGATAGGAATAGAATAGGGCAAAAATCGGGAAACAAACACACCCATAAGTGGGTTTTTGTTTAAATATTCTATTCGTTTTCCAAATAAAAATACACACTTGTTTCCCTGTTCTCAAAATACTACTCTAAATTATTCAACTATTATTAATTTTTAAATCCTACCTCGTAATAACCACCACCCAACTCTACCTAACAATAATATTTCAAAAATTAATTCTTTTTAAACCTCTTAGGTTCATTAATTTAACCAAACACCCCCCAAAAAAAATTTTACAAAATTGACAAAAACACCCTCACCCACTCACATTTGCCAGATTCCGGCCACCACCGTCGAAAGGTGGCCGGAATCTAGTATAATGGCGCATTACCAACTGGATTTGGTCAATAGTGCGCTGATCTAGCCTTTTTCGGTTAGATCCACGGTGGATCTGGCTGGAAAAGGCCATATCGACCCACGACCAGCCAGATCCAACCGGTCGTGTACCGATACGATGACTTCGGCCACCCTCTGGCTATGGTCGTCGGATTTCGGTATTTAATGGATGGGTGGGGGTGTTTTTGTTAATTTTTAATGTTTTATTACAGGGGTGTTTAGTAAATTAACAAACCTAAGGGGTGTTTTTGTTAATTTTTAAATCCTACCTTGTAATTGTAATAGCCACCTAACTCTTACTTTTTCAAAAATCCTATCCAAAATAATAAAACAAACACATCCTAGATTATTTTTAACCTCTTAGGTTCATTAATTTAACTAAACACACCCCCAAAAAAGTTTAGAAATTGACAAAAACACCCTCACCCACTTACATTTGCTAGATTCTAGCCACCACCATCAGAAGGTGGCCAGAATCTGGTATAATGGTGCACTACCAACTGGATTTGGTCAATAGTGCGCTAATCTAACCTTTTTCGGTCAGATCCACGGTGGATCTGATTGGAAAATACCATATCGACGCACGACCAGCCAGATCCAGTCTGTTGTGTGCCGATACGATGACTTCGGCTACCCTTTGGTAGTGGTGGTCGGCTTCCGGTATTTAATGGATGGGTGGGGGTGTTTTTGTTAATTTTTAATGTTTTATTACAGGGGTGTCTAGAAATTAACAAACCTAAGGGGTATTTTTGTTAATTTTCAAATCCTACCTCGTAATAGCCACCTAACTCTTACTTTTTCAAAAATCCTATCCAAAATAATAAAACAAACGCACCCTAGATTTTTTTAACCCCTTAGGTTTGTTAAATTAACTAAACACCCCACCAAAAAAAGTTTAGAAGTTGACAAAAACACACCCACCCACTCACATTTGCCAGATTCCGACCACCACCATCGGAAGGTGGCAGGAATCTGGTATAATGGCGCACTACCAACTGGATTTGGTCGATAGTGCGCTGATCTAGCCTTTTTCGATCAGATCCACGGTGGATCTGGCTGGAAAAGGCCATATCGATGCACGACCAGTCAGATCCAGCCGCTTGTGTGCTGATACGACGACTTCGGCCACCCTCTAGCTGTGGTGGTCAGCTTCCGGTATTTAATGGATGGGTGGGGGTGTTTTTGTTAATTTTTAATGTTTTATTGCAGGGGTGTCTAGAAATTAACAAACCTAAGGGGTGTTTTTGCTAATTTTCAAATCCTACCTCGTAATAGTCACCTAACTCTTACTTTTTCAAAAATCCTATCCAAAATAATAAAACAAACACACCCTAGATTTTTTTAACCCCTTAGGTTTGTTAAATTAACTAAACACCCCAAACAATAAAAGTTTATAAATTGACAAAGACACCCCCACCCACCCACATATTGCCGACAACTGGCCATCACATCTGGAAAGTGGTCAAAATTTGTAGGAATGACCCATGATCGACTGGATCTGGCTGGTCGTGTGTCGATCTGGCCTTTCCGGCCAAATTCACCATGGATCTGGCCAAAAAATGCTAGATCTATTACTATAGATCTGGCCGTCAACGGCTACATCTGGCTAGACTTGCTCGTCGTTGATGGCTAAACAACGACCAAGATGGGTGATAGTGGCTTGGGTGGGGGGGTGTTTTTGTTAAATTTAAAACTTTTATTGAGAAAGGTAATTGTTAATATTTTGAGTTGAATAGAATAAGAATGAATTTTGAAGAATATTAAAATAAATGTATTTTTGGCTTTTTAGAATAGGATAGTGGGAGAAGAGTGTGCCAAACAGACTTATTATATTTCCAAGTGTTTTACACAAGAAATATTCTCACATCTTTAAGAAAATTTCTAGTCACTAATACTACACATATAAATGATTCATATTTATATACAGTAAAGTCTATCTAAAGTGATACTCTATATAAGAATTGGGGATATACAAAAAGAAGCGGGTATTCGAGGCTGTGGTTCTAAAAAATTAGAACCGGTATTGTGCGGTTATAGTTCCACCACTATAAGAATTAGAACCAAAACTAGAACCAAGACCCGGGTAGAAATCAGGACTGAACTGTAATTTTTGTAAACTTTTGGTGGTGTATTTGTAAATTTTTTAGGGTGTATTTGTCATTTTTGTGAATAGTAGGGAGTAATATAATTCTCCCGAATACATAGAATCGAAATTGGAACCTGTAACACAGGTTCTGGTTCCAAGCTTTTAGCAATCGAAATCGATCGGTTCTAGTTCCATGGGATTTAGACGGGCACCCGGATAGTACACCCCTAATAGGAATAACCTCCATGTAGTCATAAAAATTTTGGTCTCAACTTGGGCTAGTTATAAATAAGAATAAATTTCATATTATAATATGTTATAATTTTTTTAGGTCTCGTCTTAAGGAACTTGCCTTCATATAGTAATAATTATATGTATATTGTAAAAAAAATATATGCTATGAGTTCATGTATTAACCTTAGGTGGTATGGTTGATTTGCTAGAAAAGGAAGGAAATGTATCACTTGAATTGTTTGAAGATTGCATGGGTTGTGTTATAGTACAATGTATTTGTAGAATTTACGTTGAGAGAAAAACATTAAAGAGAATGCAAAATTTTATATTATTAAGACGACTTTGCATATTCTCCAAACTATATAGATATATGTACAAGCTTTTTGAAACAATTAATTAATTATTAATGTAATTTATATTTTACCTCTATACTACTTGCAATAGGATAACTAAATCAAAACAATAATTTTTTGTAACTACACCACATTTTCATAGTAATAAAATCAGTTTGGTCCCACCATTATGACTATACAATAATGCTAGATCTATAACATTCTCTTACAATCCCTGACGTGGCAGCTCGCAAATAGGCAAGTGGGACCCATACAAGAAGGTGGAACCCATTTTGTGAGCTGATCAATGACGATTTGCCCCGTTTAGGGTTGTGAGATTAGATTGTGGACCGAGCATAGAGGTAGCGGTGGGCTGTGTTGGGCCAAAATTTCCACGTCCAACTGTTTCATGGGCCGTGCCGTGTCAGACAACCAAAACTCAAGGCCCATGGCCGATGGGCTATGTCGTGCCGTGCTTTTGTGGGTTGGCCCACATGTCGCATAGGCTTTTCTCAAAAAAATTAAATTTTTTTTTTTTAAATTCGTGGGTTGTACCGTGTCGGTCCACATGCCAAATCCTAAGCTCACAACATGGCCCATGAGCCATGGCACGAAACAAAATTTTCATGC